ACCGATGACGCACAACGTGCGAGGCGATAGCGCAGCCTTGTCATTCATTGCAAGACTTGTGAGTGTCAAGGGCCGTTTAGGAAGTCATTCGATCCCAATGACAATCGTGTCTGTCGTTTCTAGCTCAACTTCGACTAGGAATGGAATTCATTTCCTCTAACTGATTGATGGATTGATCCGGGAACAGGAAACGAAGATCCATCATCTCGCCCATGGCGAGGGTGACGGAGAAGGAATGCATGCCAAAGTACGAGGTACATACGGTATGTAGTCTACTTGGCAACGGCACGGTCTGTGCATCTACATAACTTTCAGAACAAAAAACAGAAAGAAGCACCTGTCCCGGTTCTAAAATGGATCAGTTCCCCATCATTTTTCCCATTTATCCAACGACGCCTGTGCCACCCGGCTCTTTTGGTTCACAAATATATTCCCACATAACCCCATGCATGCTCGTGCTCTGTGACAAATGGTCGCAAAGATTTCTGGCTCAATAACAAACTTACAATAGCCAGGCTGTACTGTGTCTCTACCATGTCGTCAAATAGTAACAATATAATAATTCTGAGAAGAAAGGGCAGGGCATCTTTTTCTGGTCAGAAGCTCACTTGGAACTTCGGGTGGGTTCGGAGCCAGGCGCCGTATTTCATAAAGAAGAATGGCAGAGGGGCCATTCCCAGCGCGATGAACCCGAGCAGGCTGTTGCCCCAACCCAGCCCGAGACTGGAGTACAAGGGTCGACCGGCGAGCGGAAGGAAGGCTCCCACAAGGGAGCGGATGATGGTGTTGGCGGCCGTGACGCTGGCGGCGAAGAGTGGGTAGCAGTCGACCAAGTATGTTTGGACAGCCATCTACGACATTGGCTCTTAGTTAGCACAGGAAGCAACAAATTAAAAAACTAGCAAACCTCCAGATAATGACAACAAGAACAAAAGGCTTGTACTTACGAAAATGCCCATGAGTCCCAGTCCAACCCAGCCAGTACCGATGATGGGCATAATCCAGTGGACTTCCTTCTCTACCGACCATCCGTACCAGAACAATCCAATTGGGATGCAAAATGCGGCCGGTATTAGGCCTTCCAACCGGATCTCGGGTGACACGTCGCCTTGGGCTTGTTTCGCGCGGATACGCTTATCGCTGGTGGCGCCGAACAAGATCAACCCTATGAACATGCCGATACCAATGCCCAGGAAAGAGAGCCCAGCGAGACCAGTAGAGAAGCCATATGTAGTCTCATAAATCTCAGTAATGGTGGTGAAGAGGAGATAGAGGTAGCCGTAAACGATCGAGATGTAAATCTAAAAGAGACAGTGGACGAGGGTTAGAGGGTGCTGAGAGCCTTTGCATGTTGCTGAGGTTAGAGGGTGGCGAAGGGAATGACATACAACAAAAATGAAGACAATTGGAGACCTGAAGAACATCTTGGTTGGGCGGATCAAGGCCTTTATAAGAGCCGCGCGAGGGGTGTCATTCGTCGACATCTTCGAGACGTACTGCTCATTGCCGGTCGACTTGCGGAGTTTGGCTGCTTTTCTCTCGAGGAGGACAGGAGCGTAGGTCTCTCTCATGAAGACGAAGCACATCACCATGACAACTCCAGCCTGGTCCATCCGTCAGTGGGAGAAAGGAATAAAAAGTATCGCTGCTGCTGCCACCTACCGCAATAGTAATGACCCAGAAAACCCATCGCCATCCGACATTCTGTGAGAGGAAGGCACCTGCCACGGGGCCTGACCATAGAGTGAGTACATTTGTTATAGTTGCTCCATACGGAGTCTAGCACAGAGAGCGTCCAAACGTACCAGCGACGGGACCAATCAACGGACCCATTGCGAAGATGGCCATCTTCGACCCTCGCTTCTCTCTCGGATACAAATCTGCCACACTTCCTCCACCGAGAACCAGAGGCGCCGATCCCGCCGACCCCGCCAGAAATCGAAACCCAATGAGGCTGTCGAGCGACGGGGCCACGGCACAGGCGACGGTGAAGATAACGAACAGAACGTTCGTGATCAGATAAACCGGCAACCGCCCATAGATCTCCGACATGGGCGCACACACAAGGGGACCGAAGGCGTAGCCGACTAGGTAGACCGAGACGACGAGCGCGGCGAGAATGACGCTCGACTGGTTGAAGTCTTTCATCACGCCGGGGATTCCTGGGGCGAACATGGAGGACGCGAGCGGTCTGGAGGGTAAAACTGTATCAGCAATCTTGAATAGTTGGTCGCCAGGGAGATTTTCCAGGTCGTCTGTACAACATACGTGACGAAAGTCAAACATGAGAGCATGCCGATATTGATCGCCTTCATCCGGGATGTCCAGTTCATCGGGTTTTCAGGGTCGTCGTCGCCATCCCAGTCGACGATGAAGTCATTTGCGTCCGTACGGACGTCCTCAACACCCTCCTTGGTATCCTCAGCCATTCTGAACGTGTCGACTGTGTATGGCGGTCTGGTAGCGCTTTGATGATGAATCGCGAAGCCATTCAGAGGTAGAGGGTAAAATGCACCTTTAGACTTATGTACCGAGGAAGAAACACGGCGAGACGGGGTAACAACAATCTGGGAAAGGCCACAAAAACCCCCCTTGCAAGCGGGCCGACACTCGCTTGCAGACCCAATTTGTGCAAGTTGTGCGCGTTTGTGCAAACGAGAGATGAAATCTGAAAGCTTATTGGACAGAAGCAAGAAACAAGGCGGGACCTTCGTTAACTAGTGCTCGTGTACCATCCCCAATAGAGACTAGTTTACGCCAAGATGCTACCATGAGCTCGTTTAAGCGAGTCCCGTGATTCAGGTCTTCCATCTCGGCCCCGAATCCTACTATATGTCCATCCACTCGTATAGATACACCTTATTAGGCACTCCGTACGAGGTATACCAGGTATACGCCCCTTGTACCTCTATTCTGAGTGAGTTGAAGGGTGCACCTCCCCCACCCCGCTTTTACCACTGTTTTCAACCAAACATGCGCAAGATTCGATCCGGGAGATGGCATCGGAGCAATATCTCTTGACATTATCGCCCAGAGTCTACGATTCTCGCTAGGTCGCCAAGCACAGTCCATTGTCCCACCGCGCTCTTGCCTCTTTGATCAATCTTGCCTCTATCGGAGCAATCAGGAAGCTCATGAAGCCGGCGTGAACAATCTACCGACTACTATGCGAGTGCGCGTCGGACCAAGCAAATATTCTTTTATGTGGTAGCGAGGCTGTGCTGTATCGGCCACGGCTCGTGAATGCCTTGGTCAGGAATACAGAGAAGGAAAAGGCCACGGGCCGAAGAGTCGCAAGGAGGATGGAGAGGCGGGTCTGGGTATAGCCGCCGAACGTCGATAAGACTCAACTCAGCAGGCGGGTCAATTGATCCAGTGGCTGTGCATTCTCCACGCTGAACTGGAGTGGAATATCGTGTTTGGAAAATGACATTTGTCGTCGAATACAGAGTGTTCGGGGTTGAGTACTTCGCTATACCCAGCCAGCTCAATACTGCACAGATACTTCAATCAAGGGTGCCTCGATTACCCGCGAAAAGACTCAAATCATCTGTAGGTGGGTGGCTGTAAATGTGGTTCATTTGTGTCATTGAGACAGGCCAATCGGCCTTGTAAAACCTCCGTGGTGTAGGGGTTCTAATGGAAGGATATGGAGGAAATTATAAAACCGGTAGACCAGTGGCTGGTCTGAAGGCGCCCTAACTTTAGAATATCTGTATGTACTGTACCTAGGTAGGTTTCGGGGGGGAGGGGAGGGCGTGCTCTTACCTAAGCTGCCTACAAGTACTTACCTGGGTGTTACCTAGGTAGCCTCTTGAGCCTCAGTGAGCCTGGGGCCCTCCAACTCCACTACACCACGTCCTCGTACGAGCCCCATTCATCTAAGCCTTTTCCTTGCGCCTGCTCCACTTCATTTTCATCTCTTCATCTCATTCAATCGCTTTCAACTCCCTTCAAATCCCTCTTCAGTGGCTGATGGCCTATTACATGGCAACCCAATGTCCGACTGCCTATTGTCTACTCGGTAGAGTGTACAGGAAACCAATGGAGCACCCTGTCTGCCGCAATGTCTCATTAATTGACCATATTGTTCGGCCACGTTTTGGGTCGCTGCATCATGGCAAGTGACGAGACTGGTCAATACCCCTCAGTTGACGCCGACCCTCAGCCTCACTTGGACATATCAGAGACAAATAGACCCTCAGTTCTTTCGGCAGAGGTCACGGACAGACCCAGGGCCATGTCGTGGCAAAAGAATTCATTGGGCCCGTTGCCCTCAAGGATCAAAATCGCTGGCCACATTACATGAAATCAGCCTCATTTGACCAACCAGTAGACCACCGTTCGGCGGGCAATCCTGGCCGGAATGCTGTCACATTTGCATATCATCTGAAAGATGAGGACTTGCTCCAATATGACTGGAAAGGCGGTAGAATGGATGCCTGCAGGCAAACCGTGTTCGGCTTCACATGCAGCTCGCCAATGTCAGCCAAGCACTGCCCATGGGACGACCAAAAGTGCCAGCCTGCTCTGGTCCTCTAAGGCAACTCCTACAGCCTCACCACGACCCCTCGCTCTTTAATGAAGACGTATCTCTGCAGCCTCCGCCAATTCTGTCATTGTTTCTCTAACCACGGGCAGGATATATTCTTTGCTTCATCTTATGTGGACTTTGATCTGACTTCTAGAGTATGGCACCGCGCTCTCAAGCAAGCGACCACCCCCGGAAGGTGTGCAGGTTGTTTCTCAATACTGGTCGCTGCCATTACGGGTCTAGATGCAAATATCCCCATGTTGCTGCTGGCGGTCCCTCTGACAGTCTCGTAAACACAGCTGAACACCGTTTCAATCGACCCCGGCAGACGAGAAACGAGCCAGACGACAGATTCAGTACCTGGAAACTATCCGTCCCTCACGGCGCAAATGGCTTCTCTCCAACACCTCTTCCCCCCCTCTTCTTCCAAAATGCTCTCGCCTATGTGGGCTCCGAAGTGGGAATAATGCAAGAGACAGTTCTCATCCTGGCCAAGGACGGTGGATTACAACGAATAAAGCAAGTGGTCGAGCGCAGTATGGATGGCATGAGCTTAATCATGCGCCGGAAAATGATCAAAGAGCAAGCAATACCACTGTGTCAAGTCATCACCCATCAACACGTACTTGCGTCCACCTTGCTCGAGGTCCACGTTGGAACAATCTACAACTTCATTTACGGCGTCCAAGGCCAGCGTGCAGTACAATTCTTCAAGACCCTCATTGCTACCACCGCAGACTGTAGCCAAGTTGATATTCTGCCCTCGGAAATCGAAGCGGTCGTCAAGGCTTTCTCGAACATCATTGACTGCAATACTCACGCCTTGGTGAATGATGACCTCAGGCTGCTTGCAGATTCCTTGTTTGATGTCGTGGCCAAACTCGACGAAGGTGAAGCTCACGAGTCAAGGAGAATAGTGAACCGCATCAATCAACGACTAGGGATCGGGCGAGAGCTGACAGGTTGGAAGCCGCCAAAGACAACAGCGTTACCAAAGGCCACTTTCGCTCTGCAGCAAGACCTGCCCGGGACTTTATCCATAGACGGGCCGCGGCATGACAACGACTGCGTCAACGCTTGTGATATACAGATTATGCCCACATTCGAAGAAATCAATGCAACACGCTCTGAATATCTGCCGTCCATGAATCAGCAGGACTGGCATCTCCCCGGAGTTTTAGGACTCCTGGATCGACACTTCCGTCTTCTTCGAGAAGATACCGTGGGGCAGCTTAGGGATGCTGTAAGGCAAGAGGTGCAAGCTTCCCACAGTATAGAAAATAGAGGTAAACCTCAAGGTTCGCGGAAATTGACATACGACAACGCCCGGGTTGTGAAAATCGATTTCAGCAGATGGCAGGGCCTATTGATCACCATCGGCTTCGACCAGCCGTCTCATCTTCGACAACGCTCGGCCAAACACAGGAAGGAATGGTGGGAATTTCAGAAACGCCTCCGTGTAGGCTCCCTCATTTGCCTTCTTTCCAATGGGGCTTTGATATTCTGCTCGGTTATTGAACGCAAGCCAATCAAACCCTTAGCAAAAACCGACGACTCATCCAGTTCAGACGACGAGAAGATTCCAAATCGACCTGAACAACCTCAGGACCTGTTCTCGGACCCTGTTCGAGCCTTCACTACCGTCTCGTTGGTCAGCGACAGCACAGAGGCCGTCCTGGATCTCATGAAAGCCCCTAATTCCACTTCCGCCAAAATAGTTGAGTTCCCTGGTGTTCTGCTGCCCTCCTTCGAGCCGACCTTGCGAGCTTTGCGAGCAATGCTTCGAAACCCCGAGACACCCTTCTCAGACTACCTAGCACCTGAGCCCCAAGCAGATTTATCGAAAATTGCAGCACCCTACTACGCCACCAGACCCGGGTTTGAGTTCGACCTCAGCTGCATCATGAAAGACAAGACTGTGATGAAGATTGCTGTCAATGACGATTCCAACCACGAGGCGTTCCGTGAGAACTCCATTCTCGATAGAGCCCAGGCCGATGCGCTTCTCACATCTCTCCAGCGCTCCCTCGCTCTGATACAGGGACCTCCCGGGACGGGTAAGAGCTTCACTGGGGTGGCACTGATCAAGGTGCTGATCGCAATACAGGCACAGGCCAAGCTTGGTCCGGTGCTGTGCGTTTGCTACACTAATCACGCACTTGATCAACTTTTAGAAGACCTGGTGCGACATGGCGTCGGTCAGATTGTCCGTATTGGATCCCAGTCGAAGTCCGAGGCATTGCAGAATTGCAACCTCCGTATTCTGGCCAGCAATATTGATTTGACCAAAACCGAGAGACATGAACACTGGGTGCTGAAACTAAGGCTTGATGAAGACGAAAGAATTATTTCTAAGGCTATAAAGAGACTTTCGCTCGAAGGGGATGTCGCAGCACTCAAAAGCTACCTCGAAATTTATTATCCCAAATCATACAGGACTCTTTTTGGCGGAGAGGACGACGATGGATTTGAGAGGGTTGTGCGTCACAAGACATACCTGTTAAATGCATGGCGTAAAGGTGGCTCACCTCAAGGTCCTGTCCGCCGACTAGAGAGTCTACTCGAGGTGCCCAACATCGAGTCTTTGAATCATTTTGAGAGACAGCGGCTGTATTACCATTGGTTGGCAGAATCCAAAAAGACAGCCCAGGCCGAACTATTGAACGCTCTGGCACAATACAAGGAACACAAGGAACGATTCGATCAAGTCCGGGCAGGCGTTGATCTTCGATGTTTGCAACAGGCTAAGATTATCGGTGTAACCACTACAGGTCTGGCGAGAACGTTGCCAATTCTTCGAAAGCTCAATTCCAAGGTCCTTGTTTGCGAAGAGGCTGGAGAAGTGCTTGAGGCGCATATTCTTACCGCTCTCCTGCCTTCTCTAGAGCACGCAATCTTGATCGGTGACCATCTTCAACTTCCTCCCCATATCCAAAGCTACGAACTGTCGAGAGAAAGTTCTTTGGGAAAGCGACACTGTTTGGATATATCCCTGTTCGAAAGACTGGTAACGCCTTCATGCTCTACCCAGACTGCGGTGCCTTTTAGTACCCTAGAGACACAGCGACGAATGCATCCCTCGATTTCCAAACTCATCCGCAATACGTTGTATCCACGGTTGAGTGACTCTTCAGAGGTGGAATCATATCCGCCTGTGGCTGGACTAGCCAAGAGACTCTTCTGGCTCGACCATGCGCACCATGAGGATGGTGTCCTCTCTTACTCGGATACGACAACTTCTCATTCGAATACCTTTGAAGTCCAGATGGTAACTGCACTGGTGTCTCATCTAGTCAGACAGGGTGTCTACCACACGAATGACCTAGCGGTTCTCACTCCCTACCTTGGCCAACTTCAGAAAATCCGCCGAGCACTCCAAGGGTTGTTTGAGATCTCCTTGACCGAAGGCGACATGCTTGAATTGGAAAGAGAAGAAATTGGAAAGGACAATAATGAGGCGGGTCATAGTGCCACGCCTGCACTCCAGAAGACCCCTCTCTCGCGGGCACTCAAAGTGTCTACCATTGACAACTTTCAAGGGGAAGAGGCCAAAGTCGTTATCATTTCCTTGGTGAGGAGCAACGACCAGAACAAGTGTGGCTTCCTTCGGACATCAAATCGAGTCAACGTCCTTTTGTCCCGCGCCAAACACGGAATGTACATCATCGGGGACTCGCGAACCTCTGGTCACGTCCCAATGTGGGCTTCTGTGATCGACATGCTTCATTCTGACGATAATTTCGGCGAGTCGCTTCCACTTCAGTGTCCCCGCCATCCACAAGCCACATTCTCCGTCTCGAACCCAGACGACTTCGCCATCTTCTCGCCTGAAGGAGGGTGCAACCTGCCATGCGAAATGCGCTTGAGTTGTGGGCATTCCTGCCTCAGCAAATGCCATTCGCAAATGCTACACAGTGCTGTCAAATGCCTCGAACCATGTCCCAGGTCTCTGAAAGGATGTGACCACATGTGCCCTAACAAGTGCGGAGATGCCTGTCCTGTCAAATGCCCAGAGAAGCTACACGACCTCCACCTGACCCTACCTTGCGGCCACATGCGAAATACCCTGCCGTGTTGGCAAGCTAGACATCCTTCCAAGGTAGTCTGCCAGGATAGGGTCACTCGAGTTGTCCCTGGTTGTGGCCATCAGATTGAACTTTCATGCTATGAGAGTGTTGAAACCAACGGCTTTTGCTGCAACGCCAACTGCGGTGAAGCTCTTCCGTGCGGCCATGCTTGTTCGAAATCTTGTAACGTCTGTAAGATAAGAGAAGATGGTAAAGTCATCAAAGAAGACCATGGGATATGCCAACACGCATGCGGCCGTGCCTTCAAATCGTGCAAGCACCTGTGTAAAGAAAAATGTCACGGGGATAGTCCTTGTCCACCATGCCGAGCTCCTTGCGAAATATCATGCCAGCACTCAAAATGCACGAAACGCTGCCATGAGCCGTGCGTTCCCTGCGCAGAGGGAAGATGCTCCTCCAAATGCCCACACAGCGCTTGTACTCTTCCTTGTGCCGCTCCATGTGACTGGATACCTTGTTCCAAACGCTGCGCCCATGTCCTGAGTTGCGGGCATCAATGCCCTTCACTCTGTGGCGAGGTCTGTCCACTCCCGAGATACTGTCAGATCTGTGCTCCTGAGGAGGTGAAGAAGATGGTGGTCGATCTGTTGTTGATGGAGGAATACCATGAGATCAATCTGGACGAGAACCCATGCATAATCCCTCCGTGTGGTCATATTTTGACCATGGAAAGCATGGATGGTCAAATGGAGATGTCAAAGCATTATGCTGATGATGGGCTTGATGTCCGAATTACTGATTTGGCAATGCCGTTTTCCAAAGATGAGCTGAAGGTGTGCAGCAGCTGTCGAGGCTCACTACGAACCATATCAAGGTACGGCCGCATAGTCCGAAGAGGACTCATTGACGACGCCACCAAGAAATTCATCATATCTGCGAACCAACAATTTCTTCCGCTTTACCAGTCAGTTCGCCAACACCAAGCCGAGTTGGCCAAGTCGGTCAAAGATGTCCAATGTCAGGGGAATAAGATGCACTTGGAGGAACACATCCTGTCTGGTGGACGCAAGGACCAAATCAAGCTGATATTCAAGGTCGCGCATGATTTGCGATACTCGTCGATTGCGAAGACACGCAATCACATTATGAGATACCTTCGCCAGGTCGACATCGACGAACAGCCTTTCAAGCGAGTTTGGGATATGGTGCAGTTCGCCCGAAAACAAGGCAAAACTAGCAGCGATGTGGGATTCGATCCAACCGCCATACAAACCAGCCAGACTTTACAGGGCGAATCGCTGCTGTTGAGATGCGAGCTTGTTATATTGTTGGACTTCTTGGCAGCCTTTGGAACCTGCCTGCGCGACGTCAACCTGGAAGCCAACAGAGTCGACTGCTTGAAGCTGTTAGCGGCCGCCCGGGAAGCCCTCCAACCGGCCGTGGAGGTTGAAGCTCACACATTCTACGCGCAATGCTGCCTGGCGGAACGGACCTACAGCGGACGATCGGATACCTTTACAGGTCTAAGCAAAGAAGCCACTGAGCATATTCGTGACGCCCAGCACGTATGCACTCGGTACCCGGGCTCGACCAGACATGTAGTGGGTGAGGTGAAGACAGTTGAGGGAATGTTAGAGTCCTCGACCTTTACGACAGTGGTGAATGATGATGAGTGGAGGCTTGTGATCAACGCGATGGCGAGTGATTTCCGTGGATCAGGGCATTGGTATACCTGCGTCAACAACCACCCGTTCACTGTTGGGGAATGCGGCATGCCGATGGAGCAAGCGCGTTGTCCTCAGTGCGGCGCTCCGGTGGGCGGGCAAAACCACACACCCGCCGAGGGAGTCCGACGTGCGACAGAGCTCGAGAACCGGTTTTCGGACTTGAGGCTCTAAAGAGTTAGGTGCTGAAGTGGCTACATGTCGACGACAGAACGCCAATTGACGGCAGGGGAAAGGGTGATGTACTGAATGGAGCTTGTGGAGGCTGTATGCTGGCAGGGGTGTTGACGCTCGGATCACATCGTGACCTACCGGCAGTGCTTCCAGCTGGGGACTATGATTCACATTTTTGAAGGACATTGAGAAGAACATGCAGCAGGTTGTAGGCCACCATCCAGTTAGACCGGGTAATAGACTGCCAAGTACTCGGTGTGGAGGTCATTGCCTGATGTACGGGCTTGACGGGTACGAGTACGACTATGCATCGTCCACTCGTGTAAGCTACTGGCTCCTTGGTTTTTGAGATTTACGCCCTAACCAAAATACGAGTCCATGAGGATTTCATGCTGCAATCTTGAAACGCCGTTGGTGGTTGGTAGCTGTAGAGAAAGTGATCTACAACACCCCCCCCCCCCCCCCTACCCTGCTTGTGAGCCTCGTGGGATTGCAGACCAAGGTACTGTACCGAGTAGAGCACATAGGTGACCTCACTGCCCTCCTAGTTGTTATTATTACATACCTCGGTACATACATAGGCAGTTAGTGGACGGTGGCAGACCCACACATGCGCTCTCGTCTAAAATCTCACTCGAGATCTATATAATCTCGACTTTGACTTGACTTGACCTGACTTGACCTGACTTGACTCGGGTTATGTGTACAGTATGTACCGAGTATGTATGTATATTCCATGTACTCAAAAAACTACGAGTAAGTTTCCTGGAAACGAAGCAGAGCACGCGGATCAGGGGAGTGAGTACCTCGTACATACAAAAAGCCAACGGTCCACCGATGCTAGCTAGCTGGGTGACTAGCCAGGTAGCCCGAAGGAGGGAGGCAGTTCTGTTGCGGACGGCCTGAATCACGGAGTCATTTGGCGTGTTGCAGACGCGGGTGCTGCTGCGGCTGCTGCTGCTGCTGCTTGGGAATATGGATATGAATGTATATAAATGCAGGTGTCTGCTGAGAAGTCCCTGGGGATGTTCTTCGTGTGTAGAAAAACAAGACCTTTTTTTCTTCGTGGGACACCAAAGCCAGCATACCGAACATGGCGTCTCCTCGGACATTCGCTCTGCTCCTCTCAATCCTAACCGTCGGCGTTACAGCTCTGGGTTCGACAACGCCATGTACGGCGCTGACCAAACCGGTCATCGACGGAGCAAATGTGCTCTCGATCCAGACGCGACATCTCCCAAACGCGACGGTGCTGGCCAACCCTCCCCTTCTCAACACCAACTTCACCGGATTGGACGTCTGCAGTGTCGATCTGGTCATCTCGCACCCCGGCGCGGGTGACAAGGTCAAGATAAAAGTGTGGTTGCCGTCGTCCAGGAGTGCATGGAATGGCCGCTTCGTGGGGACGGGAGGATCGGGATATGCGGCGGGATTCTTCGAGTACAGTCTGGCTCCGGTGGTGGCGCTCGACTATGCTGCCGCGTCCACCGATGCAGGTCTCTCGGGGAACCCCTATAGTCCGGCCCTGTGGGCTCTTCGTGCCAACGGCACCGTGAACGAGGATCTCTTGCTCAACTTCGCCTCGAGGTCCGTGCACGACATGGCTGTCGCGGGCAAAGCGATCGCAGCGCAATATTACGGCAGAAAACCGGCCCACTCGTACTGGAACGGGTGTTCGACGGGCGGGAGACAGGGCTTGGTCGCAGCACAACAGTTTCCCCGGGATTTCGACGGTATCGTGGCCGGCGCACCGGCCATCGACTGGGCCAGGTATGTCGTCGCTGAACAATGGCCGCAGGTGGTCATGAAAGAGGAGGAGACCTATATCAGTCAGTGTGTCCTCAAAGCTTTCACCGAGGCGAGCACTGCTGCTTGTGATGCGCTGGATTCAGTGACCGACGGTGTCATTACAGATTTGCAACACTGCAAGTTTGACCCGTTCACGTTGGTAGGGCGAAGCGTAAAATGCGAAGGAGGCAACGAGAACATCACCAAGGAAATGGCCAGTGTGGTGGCCAAAATCCTAACAGGGCCACAAGGACCGGCCATCTCCCATCGCTATGCCCTCAACCCTGGAGCTGCACTGGACAGTCTGGCCAATACGACCATCGTCAACGGAACTCGAGTCGGTCTACCGTTTTTCGTGAATGACGCCTGGATAAAATACTTTGTCGAGAAAGACCCGGATTTTGACACGAGCACCATCGGATACTCGGCATTTGAGACCATCTTCAATCAATCCCAGCGAGAATTCGGTTCAGTAATAGGCTCGGATCAGCCAGATCTCTCTACATTCCATTCCGCCGGGGGGAAGGTGATTGTGTGGCACGGCCTGGCCGACCAACTGATATTTCCCCAAGACACGATTTCCTACCATCAGAAAGTCACACGGACCCTGGGGAACGCGTCCACAGTGGCCGAGTTCTATCGCACGTTCCTCGCCCCGGGCGTCGATCACTGCGGTGCAGGCCCGGCTCCTGGGGCAGTTCCGGTAGATCCGCTCTCGGCGGTTGTGGCGTGGGTTGAGGAACACAAGGTGCCCGATGTGCTGGAAGCTCGCAAGATCAGAGATGATGGGACGGTCATGACGAGGGACTTGTGTCCTTTTCCCGCCACGTCGCGATACCGGGGTGCTGGTGACAAGAGCCTGGCAGGAAGCTATATCTGTGCTTGAGCGAGTGGTGGAGGGAAGTTCTGCAATAAGTACACGACGTGGCGGTCTCTTCCCCGTGTTAGCGTCTCATCGGATCGAGACGAGTCTGGCCAGGACCCTTGCGAGAGGCACAGAGAGATCATCAAGATACGACAGCCTCATCATGTGGTTGGGGGACAAGGTGTTCACTGTGTATTCTGGACCTCGTATTCCTGTGTGCTCTTAGGTGGTGGTTAGCAATAGATTTAGATGTTGTTGACAGTCAGTGAACATGACAACCAATAAGTCGAACTGAGGGAGACGGGGGAACGTCGGGTCTGAGGCCGGACGCTACACAGCTCCGCAGTTACGCAGGCACCGCAGGCTGCGCACGAGGCTCAAGCTTGTCTCGTACCCCGCAAAGCTCCAGATTTCCCTTTACCCAGCCGTGCCAGCCAAGCCAGCTGACCACTTGCCATCCACATCTCATCAATCACTGAAAACACAACTCCTCGTGTGCTCTTCTTTTTTAATCTTGTCATGCCATCTGACAATGGCTAGAGCCTAGCATTATCAGCGTCCCCCATCACCATCTTTGCTATAGAAACGGCTTTCCCTATATATCCGCCTTAGCCCCGTGGGCCGAGTCAGAAAAAGAGAAGGAAGAAACGGAGAGTGAGAAGAGCGAGAGAGCGAGAGGGTCATGTTCCGGCACGCGCGGCCGACAACAATTCAATCTGCCTCCCTACTACTCCCCCCGTCGCTTGTGCCGTCGACTCTGCTCGATTGTCATATGCTAAGGCAGGAAGCCCGTGATCCACCAGAGCGAACAAGATGCATCAGTCTGACCGAGTGACGGACGATGGCCGCTCCGCTCATCACGCCGACCGATCCCAACAACGTCGCCAGAAGGCGGTCGACCCCGAATGGACCAGCGCCAAAAACGGCATCTCCGCAGCCGACCAGGCCTCCGAGTCAAACGATCCTCCCAGCAAACGACGACGAGTCGCGCTGGCGTGCACCGTCTGCCGTGGGCGGAAATCACGTGTGAGTTTTTTTGGTCTGCGTGGGCCTTGGGACGACCGGCCATGACATGAGCATTCTATCATTGTGTCGAGCTGACTCCGAAGTGCCTGTGCTAGTGCGATGGCATGCGTCCCAAGTGCTCATTGTGTATCGAGTTGGGATTTGAATGCGTCTATCAACAGTCTGCGTCATATTCGAACATCATCATCGGCAAAGAGTGAGTTGCAAGTCCTCGGACACTGAGTGCATCGTCGTTGATCCGCCTTCAAGGTACCTATCGTCCATCGAGGATAGATTGAAAGAGGTAGAAGGCCGCCTTGCTTCGCTAGAGAATCGCGACCGGAACGTTGTCTACCAACCTGCCAATCCGAACACCTCAAATGGCGTCTCTTCCCTGGATTCTGAAAAGCAGGAAACGGCGTGCCTGCGAGAAGAGAGTCTCGAAGATGCCGAAACCGTCGAAGACCCCATTGATGCTATGGGGGCGGTCACCTTTGCGCAGGAAGAGGACTGCGCATTCTTTGGGCCTTCTTCAAATATCGCCTTCTTGAGACACGTCTCGAGGGCCGTGGCCCGGTTGACTCACGATCCTGAACCCTGGAAGCCGTCTCCCGCAGAACATCATTCAGTAGGATTTACAGGAGGCTTCATCAACACCTCAGGCCCGGCCTCGCCCATTCCGACGCCACGCGATCCTCCTCTCGATCAAGTGAACATCTATGCTCTTCCTCCTGACTCGGTCGCACGGGAGCTCCTCACCTGGTACTTCAGCAACACGGGCCTATTGTTTCCCTACATTCATGAGCACTCGTTCATGGCCACATTTGAACAGGCCAGCAAGGACAAGTTCAAGGGCGTCAGGAGAATTTGGCTCGCCCTCCTCAATATCGTCTTCGCTCATGCCGTAGTGCACGCACGGGAAATCACCACCACTCCAGGAAGTGTCGAGTCAGCCTCGGCGAAAGCCAGCGCAGAGTCAGAAATATACTTTCGCAGAGCTTCAGGGCTCTTCAACGACAAGAACGCGAATGGAACGGGCACTAGTGTCGAAGTTGGTAAGTTGTTGGCTACCTTGGAGTGTCCCGTTGCTTACAGAAACAGTTCAGTTCCTCCTCCTCATGGGCCAGTACCTTCAAGGAACGCAGAAATCAGTACAGACATGGAAGACACATGGTCTTGCGGTGCGAGCCGCATTCCAGATAGGACTTCATTCCAGCGATCTAGCCAGAGTCTTTCCTCCGCTGGAGCAGGAGGTTCGCAAAAGGACATGGTTTGGTTGCATCATGCTCGACCGGACCTTGAGCATGACCTTTGGCCGACCACCCGCAATCCCTGACAGCTACGTCCAAGTTGATCTGCCCATGGAATTCTCCGTAGTCGACGGCGGAGCTACAGGAACCGACAAGAAGGAGTCATTGAGCATTGCGTTTTTCAACGGCACCATGTAAGTGGCACTCGCGAACAATCCTCGCACGTTTGATAGTCATGTTAACCTGGTTGCCTCGAATCTAGCTCGCTTTACAAAGTGCTTTGCACCATTATCGACTCACTCTACGGCCAGAACCTCGCCTGTTCATTCAAAGCGAGCGCCGTCGACACAATCGCCCTCGTCTACAAGATCGAAAACCAGCTTTCGGAGTGGCAACGAGGACTGCCGTCCCATATGAGGCTCATCGCCACCCAAGACATATTGCCAGAACGCTTACCGCACGTAGAGGGTTCGGCCGAGGAAGCATGGCGGCAATTGCGACTCCGGTTCATCCTGACTCTCCGCTACACCAACGTGCGCATCTTGCTGCATCGCCCGGTGTTGGTAAAGTTCCTCGATGGATTGAGCAACCCAGCCAGCCATCAGGATACATCGTTGTTACAACAGGTCGGCACCATCCATATACAGATCGCCATCAAGTCGGCCAAGGAGATTATCTGTCTGGTGCACAATGCCCTCCAATCTGCCACGGGCCGATCAAAGTGGGGCTTGTTGGGCGCCTGGTGGTTTTCGCTGTATTACAGTACGTTTTGTCTTATCGGGTTGTCTCTCTCCTGATGGACTGGCTGTGGATCTAACATGAGTTATATAGCATTCAATGCAGCCTTGGTGCTGGGAGCATGCGTCCTGGTCCAAATCGATCAGAAGGCCTCAGAGAACGAATCCAATATGTCATTGACCGAGTCGACAGAGGATATGTGCCTGCATTTGGAAATGGCCATCGAAGCGATCCGCCATCTGGACAGCGACAATCGCATGGTCGCGCGGTGCCGAGATTATCTCGAGCAGTTTGTTCAGGTTGTCCAGGCGCTAGGTATGTACATGAATGAGCTCCCTGTCATTTCCCAAGCCATGCCTCCCTCTCCCCGAACGCCAATGCGAAACCATCCTCTACTCCTCCCTTTCCCTTTTCCCCATTCGTTTTCCGCACAGCTGATGGACCTGTCTCTATGCAGCAATCGGACAGGGCCTCATCCCTCAACCCCACAACTGGCAGCCCGTCACATACCACCAACCGACGAACCAGGCCTCCTTCGGACAGGTACCGCCCGTCCCGCCTCACGGAGCAAGCGACTATGGAGTGCTGCTCGGTGGCGGGGCCGCAGCGGTAGGTGCCAGCGTGGGCATGGGCATATACAACCACAACGGCGGCATCGTGGCGAACAGCAAGCAGTCCCCGCTCGGTATGGAGCTGGGAGAGTTCATGCTCGATGGCGATCTCGAGTTTCTGAGCAGCCACTCTTTCGCGTATAACCGCGGAGTGGCTCAGTGAAAACAAGGTATGATTAGGGAGATCAAAAGGGGATATAATGCCCACCCACCTTTTCGACAAACTACGAGCACATTCGATGCAGAAAAAAAGAGAAGAAGAAGCGACGCTAGCTATTTTCTATATATCTATGTACATGTACACGCACGCATACACACGCAGAGGCCGAGAGACAAGCGTACACAGTGACAATGAGGGAGAGAGAGAGAGACAGAGATACCCTACAAATCATACAAATACAGAAATATACGTCTCACCGTCCTGGCCTACATACATACATGCTTACCTCTATCTTCTTCTTCTCTTCTGTTCTTCTCTTGCCTCGCCTTCTACATCTTAGACTCTCGCACACATATACACACACAGATCGATCTCTCTCTCCCTTCCTCCCTCCCTCTCTACCTGAGTCTGCGCACGGTTGCCCCGGGGGGGGGGGGAAGAACCAAAGAATATCGTCCATTTGTTTATTCACTCATTCGTTCGGGTAGTGGTCACGGCGAAAAAAAAAACCCCCCCAATCCCATTCATAGCTAGGTACCTAGACAGCTAGGTAGAAATCTGTCTGTGAAATCTGTGACATTGCAATAGATACGTCATGAACTCTTTTTTATCCCTTTAGCGGCGGCTGCGGCGATGACTTTCTTCAAGTAAACATCATCTATTCTTCGCTCGTAACCCTCATTCTACCAGGTGTCATGGCATGGCATCGCACCGCATCGACTCGTTGTTCGAAAAATAGAACTACTAACCCTACCCAAAAAAAACTTACATCAACATCTTCCGATATCTCGGCTGGCATCGGACAAAGAACTCTGACGGCTCGGGATCGCCCAGGTTGAAGATCTTCCATTCCTTCTCGGGGTCGGCGAGTTCGAGCTGTGTCCACGTTCATTAGCCATGACTACTTTATAGTACGGGAAGAGACAGGGGCGGGGGGCAAAAGGGGGGATGAAAAAAAAACTCCAAGAAAGGTCTGTATGTGGAACTTACAGTGAACATCCTCAGAATCGAAGGAACCACCTTGTACAGCTCCAAAAACGCAATGTTCTTGCCGATGCACGTGTTGGGTCCGGCGCCCCAGACGAGCAGCGCCTTGTTCATGGCGGCCTGCTGCTCGGGCGTCGCGTCCAGCCAGCGCTGGGGGCGGAAGACCTCGACGTCCTCGCCGTAGGTGGGCTTGTGGCGGTGCATGATCCACGCGTTGCAGCTGACGATGATGTTGCCGGGGATGTACTCGCCCAGGATGTGTGCGCCCTCAGGCGGCGTGACCCGCTCGATCAGCTGCATGCCCAGCCCGGGCCAGAGGCGGAAGATCTCCTTGAGCACGGCGTCCAGGAAGGGCAGTTTCTGTGACTCGGCGAACGGCACCACGTATTCGGCAAAGTTGATCGGGCTTGTGCCCTTGCCGGTGGCGCTCGGCGGCGGGAAGTGTGAGTCGATCTCGGCCACGAGCTCCTTCATCACGTGTGGGTACTTGAGCAGGAAGTAAAATGTCGCGGCCAGCGTGGTGGCGACTGTGCCGCTGCCGGCGTTGACCATCGAGAGCGTCAGTCCCAAGACGGCGCGGTCGTCGACAATGTCCGGGTTGTCGACCTTGGCCTGGAGGAACTTGGTGAGCAGATCCACGCGCGTCTTCTCGTTCTCGTTGACGCCCTTGAAGTCGCGTTTCTTCTGGTCGAGTTGTCGCTGTGCGATGGGCACCGTCGCCGTCACGCTGTTCCAGAGGCCCATTCGGCCGAGCCACAGGAGAACCGGGTTCTTCTTGAGCACGCGGTCGAGCCAAGTGACATTGTTGACCTGGAAGAGAAGCGTTAGATTATATGTGTCCTCGCTCCTACCACAGGGGAAACTCACAATGGTGAAGTAGCGCAAGAAGGTCGTTCGGGCCTCGATGATGCCAATGTGATCATACCCGGCCTCCAATAGCCCGTAGCCTTTGCCCATTGTCAACGCGCTGACCACATCCAGGGCGAAGAACTTTGTCCATTCAGACATGTCACAAATGCCATCCGGTCCAGGTCGACCCGCAAACCTCTGGTCTAGCTGAGTGAGGAACGTGGTGACTGTGTCGGTCACATACGGCTCATAGTTGACAAGCGTGCTCAAGGCGAAGGCGTTGGCCACTGATCGCCGCAGCTTGCCATGGTAGATGCGATCTGTGGTGGAGAAGATGTTGGGTACGGCCACTCCCCGCGAGACTCCCTGACCAACCTTGTAGAAGTCGGACTGGGGAGTTGCTGCGTTAGACAGACTGCTGACATCGAATGAAGCCGAGGATGGGAGGCGTCTTGATCAAGGCACCGCGTCTCTTACCTTGGAGAAATGGGTCATGTAGATGTCCTTGATGGCATCGGGATCATTGAATAACAACGTGTTGGGCCCAACCCGGATGATTTTTCCATACTTGACCACACTGGGGTAGGCACATCTGTCGGTGTACCACACCCACTGCCACAGCCGCCAGAAGTTGGTAAAAGAAGCGATGAATGGTCCCTTGTACTTGTTGAGGCCCTTTTGGTAGCGGAAACTGGCTGCCCACGCACAGAGGAGGGCCGCAGTGATGGCAACCCACCCCCATACCGGGATGTGAGATATCGAGTCGGTGGCCAGCATTGTCTTCTTCTGTCTGTCGAATTAGGTAGGGAAGGGAAGAGGAGCAGGTAGAAGTTCGGTATCAATCCGTCTTGGTTCGGAGGCGGCTCCAGACGACTCTGTATCGCTGTGGCACTGTGGCACTGTATCACTTTGGGGGATCACACCAGACCCGGCTTTCGAGATACCAAGCTTCTTAAGAATAAAGGCTTGAACGGTCGCTTCTCCAATAACGCCCGTTTGTCGTGTCGGTCGTGTTCCGCCGCATCTCGGAGTCTCCTCCTTTGGGTCCCACGGGGTTGAGCACCTGGCAAATGCATCGAGGGGAAGTCGGGAGGACGTACGGGGAAAGGCCGGAGCAGGTGTTTGGAGGAGTGAGCGAGCAATGGGGCGATCGAGGCTATGCTGGATCGGAACTGGGGCGTACCTGAATAGTGAAGGAGCATGAAATAGTGGGAGAGAAGAGAGAAGGTGGGATTTCGACGTGGTCGGTGGAAAAACATTGCGTCTGAAGGCCGAGGCTTGGGAGATTCGTGAGTTCAGATTCGACAGTTGCGAAGATGATCATTCACTGATTGACTAGACAGGGTAACCGTGAAAACAAGGCTTTCTTTCTCTACATGCTGCAACCCATGACCTTCGCAATAACCCATGTTTCCCTATACAAGGCCAATGCTCTCCTTTGCCGCCGCCCAGTCTGCTTCCAAGTTCGACTTCCACACCCAAGCCATGCGATCCTTGACCTTGTCCCGCACTACCGGGAGACATTCTTCAAACGTCTTCCCTTCAAAATCCGGGCCGTGCATGTCGTAAACTTCCGCCGCTTGCCGCGAGGTGATCTGGGCTTTCTGCGCCCGTGGGACGCGTGCCGTCTGGTACAGGTTGACAAATGTGGCGAGTCCAACGCTTGGGTTCTTCAGGTAATCCCGCACCGCAAAGCCGAGCATATTGGCATCTTCGATGGAGAGACCTGCGCCAGAGCCTGAGGACAGCATTAGATGGTGAGAAGGAACTGTTTAATGGGGATCAACGAACCTTGCATGGGTAACATTGCGTGTGCTGCGTCACCGCTGAGGACGACCTTGCCATCCATGTAGCACCACTGAGACAGGATCTCGCGGTCGTTAATCTTCCACTGGCTGATGATAGGTGGCATGGCTTGGATGATCCTCTGCACGGTCGGGTTCCAGCCGGCATATTCCTTCTCGATAGCTTCTCGTGGTGCTTCACTTCTCCAGCTCTCCTTGAGGCCGTCGAGCTCGTTCTCTGGCTTGGAAACAAACGCGACGACGTTTATGAGGCGGTTTTGTGACATGGGGAATGCCAGAAAATGCTTGTTGGGCGCTAGCCATGAGAGCGTCCAGGAGGAGTAAGGCCAATCATCAGACACAGCAGATAGGGGTATTGTGCCTCTAAACGCTATCCGGCCAGAGTATACAGGCTTGTCCACTGCAAACTGGGAGCGGACAGTGCTGTGAATGCCGTCGCATCCAATGACCAGATTCGCCGACTCCTCTGTACCATCAGCAAAGCGAAGAGTGACTGTAGAACCCTTGTCCTATTCTGGGAATCAGACACCGCAAAGGCACAAATATTATCAAGCACAAGGTCCAGGTGTCATACCTCAAGCCCGACAAGTCTCTTATCGGTTTTCAGCGTAGCACAGTTCCTTCGCTGAATCTCACTGTACAGGACCTCCAGAAACTCGGCACGATGCACCCACAGCTGTCTTACCTCCTCGGCACCGCCATTGTCAAAGGCCAACGCGTCCACAATTAGCTCGTCCGTGTCCCAACGGCGATTGCTGCGATGCACGTTGTTTCGATAGCCCGAGATGGCATTCGCTGCTGGCCACACCCCAAGCTTCTGTAGCACTCGGCCGGCCGACACACCTATACCAACACCGGCGCCAATCTCACTGTATGCTGGAGCTTGCTCATAGACCGTGATGTTGTTTGCTGGCAGATCAGGACTGTAAGTCGCAAGGCTGAGCGCTGTGGTGAGCCCGCCAATGCCACCCCCAACAATGGCAACACGGAACTGGGAGGGGCCTAAACCCCCGGAAGAGGAGTGGTCTCCGTTTGCAGTGGTCATTTTATGGGATTGCAAGACGCTCCTTTGAGATCCTGGCCTGATTCAAGGAGCAGATCAGCCAGTATTTACCTTGTTAGTGGTTTGCACGTGATGGTCGTGGCTGTCCCGTGTTCGAGGCTTGAGGGAACCAAGGTGAATCGCATCTCCAAAGATATCTGCATCTTCTCGCTGTCCGCGGCTAAGTGCCGTCGGCATGAAGAGGGTCATGCAGACTGTCAGTGAATGTGTCTGGATGTAAGGCATTGAGGGGTCCAAGGAAGAGGAGGAGGGACGGGGATAGCACGGGAGAGATGTGATGGTGCCTGCGTATAGGTCAGTTAGTGTCAGCGTATTAAGTATCTTGTTTCTGCGCATAAGTGGTAATGCGCCACCGTATCTAACTGGAGATTTGTGCACGCTCACACGCTCTAGCCTTCGTCTTTTATGAGGTACCGAGTACAAGTCTCAAAGGTCATAGAATGCCGTCTAATCTTGACGACGCATGAAAGGTAGGGAGAAAAGCATCCTGGTTCATCAGCTGTCTGCCATTGTTTCCAACTTCCTGCGGATTCGTCGCTCCTTAGTTGGTTCGACCGTTCTATGATTGTCACTGCAACATGTCAATTCACTGCTAGCATCAACTAACGGATGCCTCTGTCTCTCACCATTACTCTCCCATATAGCGTTCTTGCAGCTTGTCCATTTCACCAGCTGACCCCGCCATTTTATCTCTACCTTATGCGTCAAGCACTATGACAGGCCAGCACTTGAACACTTGTGACAAGAGATGGAAAATAGACACATGATCTTTCGAGCGCAGGTTGCATAACCATGTCTCTCAAATTGCTACCTCCCCATAAGCCGGGCCTTCACCTATACAATGCTCGCCTACCGACAGGGCTCACCAGGTCCAGCAAATAGGCCAATCGAGGGTCTCGGAGGGTTTCTCCCACCGCGACCCCAGCGTGTGACTATCACTAACCTAGTTGAATAGTAGCTTGCGGGGTTGGATAGTAGAAGGATGCGCTAGCCACAGACCTCTTCATCACTCTCTTTTTCCAATGCCATTGCTACAACGACGGACGACGAGCCGTGCGCTCACCATCTTCCATTTCTCGGCATCCCCCCCGTGGTCGAGAATGGCCGGTGCTGCCATCACCCAGTCTCCATGCTAGACAATGGGCTCGAGCAAGGTTGCCCGGCGCAGGACTCCTGCCTCAGCACCTTGTCCAGAATGCGGCCGTTCTTTCTCGCGCAACGACAGCTTGAGTCGCCATCTTAAAACGCATCTGAACCATGCAGAAGAGCGCCCATTCCACCGAATCATCAGCGAGAAGTTCCGGGCCTGCAATCAATGCCGCAAATCCAAGATTCGCTGCACGGGTACCATCCCCTGTTCCCGGTGTGCACAGCTGCAAGAACAATGTGTCTATGATAAAAGGCGTAGAGAAGACAGCATCTCGTGGACTGACCCTCCGGGAGCGGTGTCTGTCTCGGATGATCCTCGAGACAATGCCTCGCCTGCCTCGCCATCTCCACCACCGTCTCCAAAGAATCAACAGACAAGAGGGCGAGCGACCGCACACGAAGAGGACGATCTCTCTCTGGGGGCTGCTAAGACTCCGAATCACCGATTGGGGTTGCCTCTTCCCTCGCTAGAGAACACTACGGCAATGCTTCATCTTGCTCTGCCTTCGGATGGCCAGACTCGAGCAGTGGATTTTGACAGTGGCAAGGATCCCTCTGGCATCCCTTCAACATACGTCTCTCCGACCTTTCACATCTTGGACCCTTATAGTTACAGGTTGCCCTCAATAGCCGATTCCCGTGAAGCACCAACACCAAACAGCCAAGCATTTGCTCAATGCAAATACCCAGTCCTGCACTACTTGTCGCCATTTCTGGATCGGGATTTTGGATCTGGTCTTGCCTGCGACCTGTTGGACACTTATTTTTCCAGCGCATTCCTCAGTCGGATGCATCCTACGTGCCACCACATCCACAATTTCATCTTACGCAGAATTGACGTCCTCCACCCTTCTCAACCTCGTCAAACTCATCCTGCACTTCTGGGTAGCATGCTGTTTGTAGCTGCCTTCAGCGACAAAGCGCTGGGTTTGTTTAGTGGACCCGAAGAAAAAGATCGAGTCTGCAAGTACCTCAGCCTGCTCACATATCGCCTTCTGAATCCCGCCAGGTATGAGCCGTTGTTGAGACAGGAAGACTTAGGGCTACCGCCCGCCTTCGGTTCGGACTCGGGATGGAGAAACGAGGACCTACTCCGAGCCTTGGACCTCCCGAATGATACTCTCCCAGAGTCCTGGGGCATGGACTATATTATTGCTTTTATTCATGTTTCCTCGGTGATCTCAGGTAGTGAAAAGAAGGCCGCAAGCATCAGGTGGTGAGTTACTCCTCCGGCTGTTTCTCTCTAGTCACAGTTGTTCTAACTGCAAGTCAGGTGGAGTGTTGCTTTCAATCTCGCACGGGACTTGAAATTGAATGAGGAGGTACAGTCTGCGATATTGCCAAATGATGCAGAGAATGGATTAACCAGCTTGAATTGCAAATGTTCTCTGAGTCAACACGCTGAAGGAGACTTAATTAATGAAGTCCAGCGCGAGGAACGTCGCCGGACGTGGTGGCTCCTCTTTCTGATGGACCGACATTTAGCATTGTGTTACAACAGGCCTCTTGCCCTGTTGGAGGCCGAGTGCAGAGATTTACTGCTCCCGCTCGACGATGTTACCTGGCAGTCAGGTGCCCAGCCGCACAGCCACGGTACTCGTGCCGAAGGGCCTCGATGCATGTTGTTACCTTCTGGGACTGGACGCTCACACGGGCCTCCAAAGACTTGTTTAGGGGTGGGCCTCTTTGAATTCTTCTTGCCACTGATGGTCCACTGCGGCACGCTTCTGGACTGGAACCGATCACGCCTCCATCCAGTTCTTTCCGGCGCCTCGATATGGAGTTCACAAGAGCGTCAAATCTTGCGTGAGCTTGATCATTACCAGGCGACATTGGATCGCGTTACAACGAGGACATACGCTGAGAACGAGGCCGAGAACGAATCCCGATGGAAGCCATCTTCACCCGTGGGAGCAGAAGAACCTGAGGCGACGCACATTGCCAAAACTGTGGCTGGATACGCGAGCCATATTGTCAGTGTCTTAAGGATCCTGGTGGGTTCGAAATGGGATCCGGTATGTCTCTTTGAGGATGCAGATTTGTAAGTCCACTTACTTGGTTTTCTCCTTCAAGATAAAGAGAGCAGTCACATGTATACCCCTTAGCCCTTGCCGTTCTGGAGTATAGGCTGATGGAATATTGCAGCTGGACATCTTCGCTAGGGTTCAAAGACTCCATGTCCCACACAATGGCCGCCTCTGAATGCGTTACCCAGATACTGGAATGTGACCCGGACATCAGTTTCATGCCGTACTTCTTTGGAATCCAACTCCTCCACGGCAGCCTTCTTCTCCTGCTAGTAGCATATCGCTTACAGGCCGATTCCGGGAATGCGATACTAGCCGCCTGCGAGGCTGTCATCAGGGCAACGGAGGCATGTTTTGTCACGCTTCCGACAGATTATCAGCGACAATTCAGAAAGTAAACCATCTTCCCTCTCTCCACTGGTCTGGTGTTGTCTCGATGCTGACGACGGGACAGTGTCATGCGATCGGCCATAGCCCTAGCCAAGGGCAGAAGGAGCAATCCTCGCGATACAGAAAAACAACTGACCTTTGTGTTAGCCAGGTACAGGTGGTCCAGGAATGGTGCTGGTCTGGCACGTTAAACGCCGGCTGTTTGGTAGAGCCAATAACCTCGAGGAGTCGTCACTCCCGCGTCCTTTATACGCTTGCTTCTCCTTCTTTGATCTTGATTCCAGCCTGAGGATCCCATAGCACAGAATAGCCAAAGCAGTCCGCATCCAGAACGACGCCACCGCCATTCCCAAGCAAGTCCTCAGCCGCATGTTCTACCCAATAATATGGACATGTAAGACTTTTCCTAATCCAACCAACCAGAGAGCCTCTAGAGTTTACAGTAACACAAGCAAACACGGTCGGATGTCTGCATCGGGAGCTTTGATGGCATTACATTATTAAAATAGCCCAGGGCTGACTGGTCAATTTGCGAATTGCCCCTGCGACGACAAGGCTAAACAGGAGACTTCTCGGCAAGCCACTATTCGGGGCCGTGGAACAGAAACGGCCCAGTCTCGAAGCAAGCCCACAAGCCTTCGTTAGCGATCAAGTCAATGCTTTATTGGCCCAGTTTCCCTTGGCAGCTTCTTCAAGTCTGCTTAGCCTGTGCTATCAAACTATTTCCGAGGATCAGGCGCCAAAAGTGGATCTAGAATGCAGCTATCGTCTCGTTTCCCCCCTTTTTGCAAATTTGGGAATACGAACATGGACCTCTTCACACTTGGGGGCATGGTTTGCTGTGGCCTGGTATTGCTATATCCTAAAAACCCTTGACCGCACCGGAGTTCAATACTGGACGAAACTGCTGGAAAAAGTCGTCCCTGAACGCGAACACGCACCAACATGTCGTCTCTTGCTAAGAAATCGATGCTATTCATGAGGGATGTGTATAACCTGGCATCAAACCCGGGAGAATTGCTGCAATCAACGACAACGTCAACGTCTTCACAAGGCTTTAAACCGTCGCAAGGTCTGTCGAACCAATTCAACCCGGCATATGTTCAGCAACGTCCTCTTCCACCACCCCATCCTGCGCAAGTCGCTCAACCGACGTACCATTACTCTTATCCAGGGCCCCAAAATGCCCAGCCTTATGGTCACTGGTCTGGTCCCCAGGCGCCCGTGTCGCCGTTATCACCACAGACAGCACCAAACGTGTATCCCGGAGCCAGTCCGGCTCCGTATGCGGTTCCAAACACAGGCCGGCCTCCATCGCCGCCGTCTCCTATATTGTCCCCATCAATCCCGCAGCCGTATACAAGTAATCCAGGGCATGGAGTACAGCAATATTCTCCTGTCCCCCCGCCTCTGCCTGCGCGAAGACCTCAGCATCAGCAGCATGCTTCGTCATGGCACAGCCCGACAGACCCTGAGCCCCATTATCAATCCCAATTGAATGGATCTGTCGGTGCACAGAATCTCGGAGAGTTTGGTCTAATGCAACAGAACGTGCCTGCCCCTACTTCTTCTGCCGGGCATTCAGTCCCCCACGGTAGTTGGGCAATGCCGCAAGCAGACCCCAGTCGAATGCCGCTGAGATACAACACTATCAACCAGCACCACGCCGCTGGGTATTCCGGAGCTGTCCCGAGTGAATCATGTCTTCCAGTTTCTGATCAACACCTTTCCACAGCCCCCGTCCCTGCTCTGACTTCGAGCCAATTGCCCGCCCATGGATATCATGAAATGCCAGCCGTGGCATCTAACAACTGGAGACCTGTTTATGGAAACGAGACAGGTACCGCTACAGTGGCTGGATCACCGCAACTATCCAATGGGCCTGCTGCTGTGTCTTTATCAACGGCACATGTCTCGCATCCTTCGGGCGCCCACCCAGTCGAGCTTGCTTCGTATAGTTGCGCCGTCGAGGCCGTTGAGCTACCAGCCTCACCTATCATGGCCAAGTCATCACATTCGACTCAAGCCTCATTATCCTCGATGCAGCGACCTGAGGGTCCCTCGCGCTACCAACATCATCATCCAACATCAACAGCAGAGACAGTCGCAACCAATGGACCAGTTGCACCAGCATTTGCGGTCGAGTTGGATTCAACGCCGATAACTGCAGGTTCCTCAGCTACCGCGACTGCAACACGCAACAATACGCAGACTAACGTCGTCCACCCTTCGCAACCTGCTCCCATGTACCAGGTATATCCTGGTCCTGCTCCATCCCCTTCCCCTTATCCACCTTTCTCGCCTCCTCTTCTGGAAAGTTCTCCCACCCAGTTTGATCCTCGCAATGGCTCGTCAGGCGTCCTTGGGCAGCAAAGACCTCCTCTCCACATGCAGCAGCAAGTCTCGTCCCCTGTACCAATGGGGGAGGCTGACAGTGTCGCGTTGGCCCAGGCGAGAATGCGAGCGCAAACAGCAAGTCTGCCAGCTGCGAGACCAAACCCAAGTCCACTCCCGTCATCGCACTCGGAGCCCAGACTCCAGCCGCATCACCAGACAGAGGTGCCTTACCCGGTACATCGCAGCCCGGGCACGGTTGCGATGCCGCTGCACCATGATTACTCGTATCCTAGGTAGAAAAGAGTAAGAGGAGTGGGGTGGGAGCTTGTTCCACGACCAAGTTGCAGCATATAGAAACCTTGGCCAAAGTTTCGTCGCCTTGTACCGAGTACTTGGGATATATAGCGTACACATAGCATCGAGAAAGATGCCGTACTGGCGCCTTTGGTGCTTCTTCTTCTCCTCAGCATTGAGAAGGAAAATGTATTAATGTGACCAGAACTAAACACAAAACAACTTTTTTTTCCCCTTCCGAGCCGCTTCAAACCACGAGCCAGACACGAACATAAACACAAACACAGCCATTGGCCATTGTCTCGCTCGTACAGAACAACTCCTGTGCTCGCCCTCGATGTAGGATGTATTGGCCATTTTTCTTTGAAAATGGAAATGGAAATGGAAATGGAAATGCAACACCAAGTTCGCTCGCTGACTCGCTAGCTACCATGCCCATGCCGGTGATTAGATCCATGCGCCCATATCCATGACCATCTTCATCCCTTATTTTCCTTCACCCCCTTTTTTTTCCCTTTTCCCTGCCGAGTAGCTACTGTGTGTGTATTCCCTTTCCCTTTCCCTTGCTTGCCTATACTCCTCCGGGCGCCGATTCACCTTGTTTCCTCTGGGAGGAAGTTTCGTTCTTCTTGGGTGAGCCATTCCTTTGATTCGCAGTTGCGTAACAGTACCAAATTCCATGTAAAGAGATAGAAACAGATCGGCTAGATGGACAAATGTGGGGATAGACAGAGAGGTGTAGATGGATGGGTATCCGGGTGGAGGGAGCGAGGGATGGATGGATGGATGGATGGATAGATAGGCTTGAGAGTGGTATATATACCACTAAATACATACACACACACACACACACCCAGTATGGTACATATCTTGGTATATGATACGTAGATCCAGTGCCGGGAGGGTATAGTAGTATGTCTGCAAGTATGACAGGATATATGATAAAGAGTCGTTCTGGAATGTCAGAGCGCCCTCACAGCGCCGCGTGCTGCCACTCCTCATCGCCCAGCTTCTCGCTCACGCCTAGCTCAGTCTGGCTACTCATGGCGCTGGAGTTGGTGCTCTGGCGGCGCAGCAGCTCTTCGAGCCGGACGGTCTCCCCACGGTGCATGGCCTTGATGATCTCCTGCTTCTTGCGCTTGCTGCAGCGGATGCGGGCCTCGTAGTGTGTGGCGCGCTTGGACTCATCGCACCAGCCGCCGGTCCAGAAGCGGTCGCCCGTGCAGGACATGCCGAAGATGTCGAGTGTCAGGACCAACAGGACCAGCGCCGTGGTGGTGCCGATCAGGCTGATGGATGAGAGGTGTTTGGCCAGGGGGAGCAGTAAGATCGCAATGGCGATGCACGACCGGATCACCAAGCGCGGGACTTTCCTCAGCCGCGGGTTCTCCAGCGTTTTATGCACGTGGCAGTACGAGAGCAGCGTCATGGACAGCAGCGCGGCCGCGATGCCCCCGCAGTAGTACCAGCGCAGACCGGAGTCAATTTCCGCGACCGATCTGGGTTGGTAGGCCTCGCCCAAGTCCTCGACATTGGCATTGTCGCAGTCGTGCGCGAGGACGAGTTTCGACAGCGTCGCGGCCCCCAAGACGTACGAGAGCACGAAGGGCAGGTGGCACGTGATCCAAACGGTGCTGGAAAGCCAGTGGCGGCGGATGGCGTGGACGTGGACGCCTTGGTGGTCGATCTCAAAGTAAAGCCATTGGAACGCGAAGGCTTGGATGAGGCCTAGGATGCCTTTGCCCAGAAATGCATTGAGGCCGACTCGTGCCCGGGACTGGTAGAGGATGGTGAGCACCGAATAGCCGAACACCAGCGACACAAAGGCGTTGGTGCGCTCGGTCCGATGCTCGATATTGATGGCCGGGTAAAATTCAAAGTACTTTCGGATAAAGCGTTCTCTGCGACTGCCCTGCGCGTGCGTGTGTCGGGCAGAGGCGCGCGAAAGGAACATCCCAAACCCTTGGCCCCAGAGGTCGATGACAATCGCGATCCAGATCAAACCCAGTTGGCCGGGGTAGTCGACGTGGATGCTGCTGATCCAAAACACGATGGCCAAAAGGATGATGATGGACGTGTACAGGAGGGTTCCCCTCACCAGGGGCACCACGTAAGAGAGCCAGGTAAAATATAAGGCACCATAGAACCTCTCAGCGAGATAGAAGGACATCATAGGAATATATGTGTCGAACTCTCCGCCGGGATGCCTTTCCTCAAACGCGTACGAGATGTTGGTGGTGTAGGCGAAGAGGAGGATCAGGTAGAGCATGACAGAAAGCTTCTGGACGATGTCGTCTCGCTCGAACCTAAACGACCGTTAGTTTGTAAAACCAAACAATCATCCAGTTCTCATGGGTGGGCCCCGACTGACCAGTTCGAGACGAGTGTTAAATCATTCCAGATCTTGAAGGCCATAGTGAAGTTGATAGCATACACCAAGAACGACTTCCCCGTAGGATCCTCAGAGGCCTTGTCACCAATGATGCCAATAATGCCCACGTAGAGCAAGTCGGCGAACAACTCAAAGGTGCCGACCTCCCCGCTGCGTGCAGACCGCCACAACAGTCCCTTGTGGAAGTACTGGCGGATGACGGGCCGTTTGAAGAACTTCGTACCTTCGACAACGCGGCTCTGATGTTTGTCGAGTAAAGTTTGCTCTGAGTTGGCTGTTGATGTTGAATGTGACGGTGTCGATGAGCCACTGTGGTCGTCCTTGGTACGGATGCGCGCTGTGTAGCCAAACTTGCTGAAGTTGGCGTCAAGGGCCACCTACTCTATGGATTAGCAACAGGTCCGTCCAACACTTTGACGACAGTTTCACACACTCCGTGATGGGTCAATTGATTGAGTTCGTTGGACAGATGATCCAGGTCGTCTCTGACCTTCTCGAACTCGTAGAAGACGTCGCCATGTCTCTCCCGCAGCGTGTCGCGTTGAGCCGAGTGATGGGCGTGCAGCTCGCGTACTACGGCGAGATGTTCTGGGGTGCCGGAGATCACGACATCGAATTCGTCGGGGCCATGCTGCTGGCTCAGCTCTTTATGTAGTTTGGCGTGCTCTTCGGGTGTGTGAGCAATGTGGATTTTCCGGCCGTCAGGGTGAATGAAATGGCGTAGCTTCTCTTTGGCATGGTCGATATGCGGGTGCTGATGCTGATGCTGCTGTTGTTCAGACGGGGGACTCTGGACGCCTGATGGACTCTGTGCCCCTGGGGACAGAGCGGTAGGCGAGGTGATTGCTGTTGACTTCTCACCCAGACTGTCGACGGGGTCCTCGTCCAGGAGGCCCATTGTGTCGTTTCCCTGGCCGATCGAGGGGAGGTGGAGGAGGGAGAAGAGGGCGCGTGCCCTTTGGTGCACTCGTCTCAATTCATACTATTTCGAGTTGCCACAGCCAAGTGTCATCCCTTCTTGGCCATGCACCTTTTGCTGTGATGAGCTCAGCGAATATAGGGAAGAGACGTTGTTTGTCAGCTGCATTAGCTGAATCGGTCCATCTGGAGTAACGGATTAAGTGTGAAACTGCGTCTGCCACGGCGAAATTGGAGGTGGGCGCAGGGTCCAATGTCACCAAGCACCTAAACAGCCCAGTTAAGCTGCGGTCCACCGCCCGGAAAAACCTGGGCTCCGAACCCTAAATCTAGCTCGTCTGTCCCACCAAGTGCCCAGCTTACAGCAGGGCGCCCATTATCATTAGAACTGACGATTGCGATTGGGAGCCACTGGCAACCACTGGGAGCTCCTCGTCTCCTACTAGTAGTGACTACGAGACATCTTCAGTTACTACTGGTTGCCCACAATAGGCGCGTGCCACCACTCTGCCACCTCTAGCCCTCCACTTAGTTCCCTATCAATGGGCTCATTTCTAAATTCTGACAACTACGAGTACCAATTACATATTCACTTTCACATCACCTCTCTCACTCTACGACTGGCCCGATCTGGTGATGATGATATGACCAGACCTAATGCCAGTTACTCGAGAACATATCTCACACGAGAGAACTACCGCGGCCCAGCACTGCTTCGATCTATCCGAGGGGCAGAGTCTCATGAACAATCTCTGAGTCCAAACATGAAGACGGACTCCCTGGAAGATGAGAGACTCATTTACGCGCCGCCCGATTCCAGCTCAGATGAGGACGACGACTCACGCCGCAAGCCGGCGCAGAGCTCACCCAGAGCGCCCAAAGGCAAGACTCTGAAACCCTCCAGTCCTCCCACCAAACGTACGGCGAGCACAGCTGCCTCAACCAGACCGAAGCGGCGGAAGCTCAAAGACGAACCCGCGCTTGAGCCGCTGAAGACCCTTGAAGATTCGACCCTCAACGACCCATTCCCCGACTGGACCTCGTCGGGTTCGCAGAAGAGAAAGCCCTCTAAGAACTATGCGAACCGCAAGTTTTTCCAGAAGCTAGAGCCCATCGAGAGCGCCGCACAGGCGGAGCCAAAAGGTACTGGTTTTGTATCTTATGCTGAAGTGGAAGGGCGTGAAGAGAAGGCATCGAAAACCACATTCATACATGTTGCTGAAGTGCCGGTGCTGGACGGGGTCAAGGGAAAGATCAAGCAAGGACAGAAAATCGACGTCCCTAGTCTTCCAGCTGAAATATCGGATCATCACAAAGCGGATATTCACATCCCAGAAATGCCCGACTTTTCGTCGTCCGGCGGCACTGACAACCTTGTTTCTTTTGACGTGGACTCGCCCCGCGCTGCAGGCCGTGCAAGGTCGGGGTCGACGTCCTCTCTCTCTTCTGTGGATGACATGTTTCTGCTCGTGCACGATGACGAGTTCAAGTTGGAGCCTGAACCAAGAACAGTTGGAGTACGATGTCCCGTTTGTCAAAAACCCGTGCGAGACACGATCTCGGTGTTTGTTCCGGACAATCTCCGCACTATGCCTTTCCAACAACAACAAAAGTTTTGTTCTCAGCATCGACTTGCGGAAGCACGAGGGCAATGGGAAGAAAGAGGCTATCCCAAGTTGGATTGGGAGAAGTTGGAAAGCTTCCGGATACCGAAGAAAACGCAGGAGCTGGAGCGGGTGATAAACCGACAGAGATCCAGTTACTACCTGGATGAGCTGGACGCGAAAATCAAGGCGGCCAAGGGCAACCGCAGGACTATTCGGCATTATCTCAATGAAGGCTTGATTGATGTTGCTAAGCCGGGTTACTATGGTCCCAAAGGAGCCCGAATCATGGTCCACGCAATTACCGAGTCACTCTCAAAGTTTCTCAACAAGGCATTACAGTCGGACCCAGCGCTGCGAACAGCGGGCGTGGGCGCATATGTGAGCGCTGTGTTGGTTCCCGAGTTGACCTTGCAGCTCGTCATGGAAGACATGAAATTGCCAACAGCCAAGGAAGGGAGGAGGGTGCTGGATGAGAGTACCGATATTGGAGTCCTATTGAACCCAGACGACGACCATGTGGAACGACGACATGATGGAGAGGATGAGTGAGGATGGCTCGAGATGTTGAGGAATAATGGCTTTGAACGAGTCCATGATAAGACCTGCAGAGCCTGGGTTGTGAGGCGGAAAGTGTAATAACAATTTTTGCGGCGACATCAAGTTCTTGCCGCCGACATGTACAGTGAGATTGAAGGTTGCCTAGTTAGCGGTGCCATTGCTATCCAGCATGTTCTGCATGTGGTTGCATGCGACATTTCTTGTATGCATCTTGATATTCACCCTGTCATCGCTTTGTCATCAGCACCGCCAGAGCCACCTGGGTGCCACCAGAGCCGTCGATGCACATCTGGTTTCCCCCAAGCAGCGCCACAAAAGCCCATACATATCGTGACCTGCCAACTCGGTACATGATCATCCCCGAGGCGTTCTCGAGAAGTCGTAATACACGATGCTCCACCACTGTACCTACGGAGTAGCACAGAGCATGCATGCTACAGCACATCACATCCCTGCAGAGGTACGTATGTTTATGTGTACTCGGTACCTCGCCCGAACAGGGAAACGGGGCCAGCGCGCACACGCCGTGCTGATTATTCATACCACGGTTCCTGACCTTACGTACCTACCTGTTAACCTACCACGCCTACCTACTATCGAGTAACTACGAGGTGCCTCCGTACATAACACAGACGTCCACCGTACGGAGCCATTGGAGTTTCCTTTCTCATCCATCAAAAAGTTACTCGTCTTTTCTTTCTTTCTGCTGCCCTTCCCCTTCGCGCCCATTGAACCAAACACGACAAGATTGAGATTGACACTGGCCATCTTGAATAAAGATTTCAGACGGGTTCTTTGGCCTATCTTTTGTTTTGGCTGGCATTGATTGAAGTTGAGGGCTTTATCTCCCGCTCTCTGTACGTCCGTCCGTCTGTCTGTCTGTCGCCTGTTGTAAAACACCACAACCCCGGTGCGATGGAAGAAATGTTTTGAGATATCATTGCCATTTATCACTACCTAGTACCGTTGCCGTTACCGTTACGGCATACCCGATACCCAGGTATTCCCACAATCAATTCATCGACTTGAAAGTCTGATCCTGATTCTCCGGAATACTCATTATTGGAAGACAAAGGAAGGAAGAAAGAGGAGAAGGATCGGAGAAGAAAAGGGCCGCGACAATAGAAAAACAGGAGGGAGAGCTGAAGAGAGGGTGATTTCACCACAAGAAGTGGGAGTGGAGGAGAGAACTCGTTGATGCTGTTGACCAGTCTGGTGTTTTGTCGAGCGAAACAATAACGCTTGGACTAAAGAGGCCAGAGAACCAGTCGTCGATCGACTGACGAGCGAGCCAGCCGTATACCTCAATCAATTCCCGCGCTGTCGTGGCGGTGTATCGCTGCCTTTCAGACATCCGCAGTCTTGTCTCTTGAAGGCCAGCCGGTTCCGAAACAGCATCAGCGTCCATGACTGATCCGAATCACGCACCGCTACAGCAACACGCACAGCCCACCACGGAGGAACACCAGTCCAAGGCTCCCACACCTCCCCTCTCTCCCACCTTCCGCCCCTGTCTCACCGTCCCCGACCACTTCCCCGCGACGAGCGCTTACGAAATGTCCACCACCGCTACGAGGCAGACGTTCAACTCGAACTCGCTCGCAGCTCGCAGGCGCCGGGGCGGCTCTCTGAGCGCCCCCTTCGCCGGTCGTTTGGGCGGCAACCTAGAATTCACCCTTGACCGCTCCGACCCCCAGAATGAGGAGTTGCTAAAAAAGGTGCCCGATGCCGCACCCAATCTGACCTTGAAGGAAAGTTTCGATCTTCGAGGGTTTCGGGAGGTGGAGCTCTGGAAGGCCTCCATGGTCGAGTTTGTCGGTGAGCCATTCCCTCTGGTGGTTGCTGGCGAGATGTTTGGGCTATTGAATCGGGAGATGTGCGCACGGCGGAACATGTTGTCTGGTAATCGAATGATGCTGACGATAACTTGTCTTTAGGCACCATGATCTTCGTCTGGGCCTCAGCTTGGAACAGTCTCTCTCCAAACACCCCTCCGCCGTTACCGTCAGAGACATCCGGTCCCTTCAGCCGTTCGTATTTCCTGGGCCCTCTGATCGCAGCGCCAATCAACATAATCCTCCTCGCGCTACTGATCTTCTCCTTCGGTGCCGTGTCCGGAGGCCATATGAATCCCTTAATCACCATTGGGACTTTTTTCGCGAGGTTAACCACCTTTCCCCGTCTGGTGTTGTACCTGGTGGCGCAGATCTCAGCCAGTGCTCTTGCGGGCCTGCTGTTGAGGGCGGCAGCGAATACCAGAGAATTCAAGGTTGGAGGGTGCTATCTCTTCGAGGGCATGGGAACTCCTGTCTCGAGCGCATTCACCATTGAAGTCATCAGCGACCTGCTCTTGCTCATCCTCGCGTTCGGGGTCGGTCTGGATCCCCGCCAGCGCGAGATCTTTGGCCCTGCCCTCGGACCGATCTTTGTCGGCTTGGCCGTGGGGAGTCTGGCGTTATGCACAGCATTCAGTCTGCCGGCGTACGGCGGTGCGAGCCTGAACCCGGCAAGGTGTTTCGGTGTGTACGTGGGCAGCCATTTTCCCGGCTGGCACTGGGTGCACTGGGTGGCACCTCTGGTGGCCAGTGTTTTCCATGGCATCATGTATTTCATCGTTCCGCCTGGCGAGCCGAACAGGGCGCATGCACACAAGATCGGCAGAGCCACCCACAAAACTGAGCCGCAGGCACAAGAGGATGGAAAGGAGAGCGTGTAGAAAAAAACGTGTCTCTTCGGAAGGGCTTCGTTCTGGGGATTTCGCACCATCTTGAGGATTAAATAAATTTTAGTTAATAATGGCAAAACCGGGTCATCAGTCGGCGACTAACCACCGCCACCACCGTTGGTGACAAAGTGTGTGTTTGTGTATGTGTGTCAAGCACCCATCATGACTCTCCTCTTGGGCGCTTTTTTCTTCCCGCCCCCCTTCACATATTGGATTGCCTTGTGGCTGCGTTCCTCGAACCCGGCGCTTTCGCCCCTGTGACCCTCCACCCAGCAGTTCGTGCAGTAGAGGTCCCCGTCGCAGCCGATGCACTGCAGCGTGGCGTCGTCGTTGCAGATGATGCACCACGTGTCGATCTCCTCGTCGGTGAAGCCGATCTTGGGCTTTGGCGTGGACGAGGTTGCCTTGGTGGATTTTATGCCCGTCGGGACTGCCGGGAGGGATAGGCCGGCAAAGCGAGAGGCGAGGTCGTCGTCGTCGTCTTCATTTGACGGCTTGGTTGGGTTGGACGGGTCTGGCAGTTTGGAAGGTGTGGTGGGGAGGTCAAAAGAAGACGCGTCCCGCTCAGAACTAGGATTCGCATGCTCTATATCTCTCGGGGAGGTATTCTCTTCAGCGTCCTCCTCTGGGAGACTCGTGTTTTGGTCCTGTGTCTCTGCAGATTCAAGCCTGGCCTCGTCTAGGATCCTTGCCAACAATTCATCTGCCTCCTGGTCCAAAGTGTCTTTCAGCTTGTTGTTGCCTACCGCGGTGACTGGGCTCTCTTCTGTTTCGGGCCCGGGCTGAAACACCGAAACATCAATCGGCGGGAGCTTTGTAGATATGTTGTCCTCCCCTTCTGTTGTGCCTTCAGCTTGGTCTGCGCCTAATCCTTCACTTTTTGTGTGTGACGCATCTGCCAGCGCTGACTTTGCAGTCCGCAGCAGATCTGCGACCTGTTCCTCTTCACTCTGTCCGACTTCCCACGCATCCGAAGGCCCTAAATCTGCCAGGAGTTCCTCCACTGTTTTCTCGTCCTCAGACTTTGGGGCCGAAGTAGCGGGGTCTTGAAGAGCCGAAGAAGGACTGCCTCCGAGAGATTTCCATCTTGTCAGAAGGTCTGAGTGGAGGGCACGAGCCGGGGTAGGATCAAGCGAAACAGGAGGCGCTCTCCCGAGAGGTGTCTGAAAACTAAAAGGCATCAGCTCAATGTCCAAGGGTTGAGAAGAGTCATTCATTTACTTTGTCTGCTCAAAAGACACCGTCGACGTTTTCAGTGCATTTAGCCGCGCGAGAAGATCTCTGTCTGCATTTGACTTTGACTCATCAGACATCACGGGCATACAATGCTCATCTTGGTAGCAACCATCAAGCGACAAGACGATCAAGAGTCCTGGTCACAAGTGTGGACAATCACGTTTTGCGCCAATGGTCAGTACCGCATGACGTAGTCGAGTTCCCCGTTTCACAGCACGATTCGCAACGTTCTCAAAGACTGCCTAAGAGCGCCATAGCACTCTGAAAAGCCTCAAGAACGTTTGTGTCTGAAGAAAAGGTGAGCGAAGTACTGTGCAATAAGCCCTTGTTACTCACGGTGGGCTTGTTTCTCGGCTAATAACTTCTCCGAATTTTGAGCAAGAGCGATCCGTGTGCGAAGTCTGCATGGATGTCAGATTGCTTGCCACCAGCAACAGAGCGTTTACATACCTCTTGATGGCCCTCTCAGATTCATGTTCGTTTGATACTTGCATATAGAGCGAGAATTGCTGCAACTAATTAGCCTCCTCTTGCCTGCTCGTGAAAATAGCTGCCTACCGCGGAGCGGGCATTGAACTCTTCCATAATCTCCCTCTCAGCTGCAAGGCAAGGCTGAATCTCCCTATTATACCGCGCTTCAAGTTCGTCCCAATCGATTGCATCCAAGTCTACAGAGATGTCTCTCTCGTTCATCGCTCGCTCGAACTCTCGGAATTCGAGCTCTAGTTGCTGTTGATAGTCGTAGATCTCTTTGACAAAACCATTGCGTTGGGGTAACGGAGCAGGGACTGCAACAGTCTCTCTACCGGCTGGCTGAAACGAGGTGTTCTCACCGGTTTGAGGCGGGCCTTGATGCTCGAAAGTCTTGGTCCAAGCATGGGATGCTTCAGCCTCGGGCATTGTTGGGAGAGTTGCAGTTCTCTGGAGCCTTGTACTTGTAGGACTCGACTTCGCAATTTCAGGTGGCTGATAGATCTCCTCGTTTGTACGTTTTCGAGCCCGACTGCCTTGTCTGGACCTGGATCTGTCCGGTAGTGGTGAGGAATGGATTACAGTTGTCGCGTCTGTATTCAATTGAGGAGGAGGTGTTTGCTTCCCCTCGTTCGCAGTCGGAAAAGTTATAACATCAGCATCAATGCTATTCGGTGCGTCCATCTTGGCGAGACTGCTGGTGGACTTTGAGAGATGAAAATTCGACGCTTGAAGGACCTCACAGCCTTCTCGCCTGGTCCATCTTCGGTTAAATATCGGCACGACGCGTGTGTAGACGCTTAACCTCTTTTACATTAGCATCTCTCACCAAATCACGTGCACTATCTCGTCTTCCACGTCTACGTCATGTCGCAGCCCAGACGGTCTAGGCCTAGCCTAAGCCTCAGATCGCTTCGCGACAGGTAAGTCGTGCCTATTCCAGTTCCCGTGCCTCTCTTTGACGATTTGATGTCGCCCTGGTGACAATGCCAGCGCCGTTGCTATAATCGTGCTCGATGCACACTGCACATGAGACAAGCCTCATTCTAACATCATGGTTACAGATTTCTTGTCAGTGAAACCGCGCCACCGCCGAAATCGCTGGATGCGGAGGTTAAAGACGACGAGACCACTGAACATGAGATCGAGATCCCCCTGACTTCTACTGGCTCTTCTACCGACTCTACGTACATCAACGTAGAAACCGTCAAGATGGATTGTCCAGTCTGTCACAAACACCTGGCCGAAGACACAAGCGTCAACTGCGCAAATTGTGTGAACAACCTGCTCTACAATTGTCGCTTTGACCTCGCGCGAGTTCTGCTCGAGAAAGAGTCCCTCGGAAAGAAGGTGGAAGCTATTGTTGGTCCTGAGCCTGAACAACCCCTCGATGAAGAAACTGCCAGATTGAGAAAGGCCTGGCAAAGACAGCAGGAAAGAATTGAAGAACAGCGGGCCAAGGAACAAGAAGAAGATATGCAACGCGAACTCGTTGTCAGGCAGAAGGAATTACAAGAAAAGAAAGAGCATGCAGAGGCTTTGAAGAAGAACCTAGAGGAGCGGAGAGCCAACCTCGCTGCAGCGAAACAAGCCCAGGCTAGGAACTACAAGAAGAGAATGGAGGAGCTCAAAGAAAATGGGGAGAAGCTCAAGGCACAATACGACGCGCTTCATGAGAAGACAGTCGATACTCGTGCCATTCTCTGTCGAGAAGCTGCCGGTCTGTTGAGGCTCCATCACTCGAGGAAGAAGACCAAAAACGGTGCTATCAAGGATCGCCACTCTATTGCTGGTCTCTTATTGCCAGATTTGAAGGAGATCAATAGTAAGACCACCGACACGCGTCCCCCAGTTCCCCAACTAACTGATCATACAGACATGCGATGCACTGAACTCACCGCCGCCCTGGCTAATGTCACTCGGCTCATTTTCCTCTGCTCTTTTTACCTGGGTATCCGACTCCCTGCTGAAATCACCCTGCCTCACCGAGATTACCCACTTGCAACCATCAACCCCCCGCTTACCTCGTACCTTGGACAACGCATCACCTTCCCCGGCAGTGGATCGAGTCTTTCTGCACCCGGTAGTCCTACCGCTTCCAGAATGGATCTCAGCTCGTCTCCGAAGCCCCGTCCACTGTACATTGGCTCTGACGACCACAACGAATCTGTCGCTCAGTTTGCCAAGAAGGAACCCCTTGCGTTCAGCTACTTTATTGAAGGCGTCTCTCTCCTGGCATGGGATGTCGCGTGGCTTTCTCGCACTCAAGGTTTCGTTGCAGGCACCGAAACGTGGGAGGATGCATGTGACATTGGTCGCAATTTGTTCCAGATGATTTTAGCTCCTGCGCAATCTACTGCAGTGACCCGAGTCCTCACCCAACGCAACGCTCGCAATCGTCACCACAGATCTCAGAGCACGTCCTCGCCAGTCATTGATGATAAGGCCAACGCGTTCCCAGCACGTCTTGGCTCGTATTCCCACAACTCAGCCCACACTTTCCTTGGGTCTGCCACTGCAGCCGGAGATAATCCGTCCCGCCACTGGCACCTAAACCGATATTCCAAGATCTCTGACCCTTTGAAGAAGCATCTCCTCGCCGAGATGAACAATGCCGAATGGGAACTACTAGATCAGCAGGAATGGAATGATGGGGGAGAGAAGATGGACGAAGCCGTCTTCATCAAGACGAGACCAATGGATGGGAAGGAGTATGATGATGCGAGAAGCATCATGACACCTGGTGGAGAGGAGGAGGGGGTCCGGGGTAAGGGCAAGAGTGGTTGGACAAAACTCAAGAACCGAGAAAAGGAGTAGGAAGGGCGGCGTCACGCACACGAATCACGAACCAACAATGACGGGCATCTGCATGGAGCTGGGGGGGGATACTTGGCCCAGCAAGAGGCTGGGAAATTGGCGTTGGAGGCTGTTTTGTGGGTTGATAGAGAACGAGCGCAATATGCGCCTGCAGTGCTAGCCGTCGTCAGCACGATGAGCATGAATGATACCATGTCAAATGACCATGATGACCATCGCTCTCAGTGCCATGTCAAGACTGGGAGTTCCCCGCCTGAAATAGTCCATGGGATCGACTCTTTATTCGCATCAGGCCAGCGCCGAGTGTCCAGACTTCAGGCACAAGACTGGAATGGAATGTGAGCAGCACTGATCACTGAGCACAGACAGATTGAGTCCACGCGGCTCTGTGGAATGCGACGAGAAATCGAGTCTTGGAGCAATCAAACCGTATATACAAGTATTCCAGCCGGACGTGCTTGGGAGGTCCTTGGGAGGTCGTGTGGTCTGGATGTTTCCGTCTTGACTTGTCCTTGGCCTTTGTCCCGTTGTTTCGTTTCCGGCGGCGCCATGATCGCCGTCCAATGGCCTTTATGCCCTTTTGGTCAATCGCGTTCGGATTTGTTCCTTGTCTGGCCCCTTGAATATGTGGTTGGTGGGTCACTTTTACTCCATGGGGTCTTGGACTTTCTTGGTTTGGGTTGCGCTGCCTCACCTTTTCCGTTTTTTTCCCTTTTCTTCACCCCCTGCCACTCACATACTCCTGTACAGTAGGTATTCCAAGCTCCAGAGTCACTTGGAGTGCTTCCACACACACACTCTCTCTCTCTCATCATTCATGCACACAGCGTCCGTCACCCTGACCAACGCCAACCCTGTGATCTGTGCTCGCTATCGCCAAGAGCTTGACCAAGCCTCGCATTTCACAACCCCAGTGGACGCAAGCAAAGATGTCTCTGCGTCTCGCTGCAAACAGTAAGTGGATCACAAGGTGAGGGCACCGTTTGCACGTCACTCTAGTATGAAGAAGTACTGCCATTTCAAAGAAACTGTCCTTTTCTTTTCTTTTGTACCTCGTACGCTTTCAATAAAGAAAATTAACCCCTCCCCCCTTTTTTGATCTCCCTTCTCCCTATTCCCGTGCTTCAAAGGTGACACGACAGCAACGTTTCGGAAGCTTGTGCGCGACAGAAAAAGGCTATCAACCATATTGAAACAAGGCCCACATTTTTCCAAGCACCCGCCGCGCAAGACACGGTACTCAGTATATCTTAAGAGAAGCCGGCGAGTCCCCTGTCTTTTTGTGAAGAAGCAGAAAAAACAAACAAATCGGTGTCGAAGATGAAGTGCGGTGGTAGGGTCGGTGCCCTGCTCGTCGCGGCTGCGAGCGTCGCTCTCGCCCAAAACAATAATTGCTATGAGGAAAAGGGTAATTGGTACTGCGATCCGGTCCAGGCCATCTCATACTCGAATTTCGGCACCGCGGGCCAGTACCAGAGGGTGTCGAACATGGGAGCGAATGGGGCGTGTGATTTCGCAGCACAGAGCTATCAAGGAGGGATGGCGCCCATGGACGGAGAGGTAAGGCACGATCTAAATCATTCTGATTGAGAGGTGCGATTTCGACTTACATCCGGTTACTTGGTAGATATCATGGCACTTCCGTGGGCCGATTCATTTGAAACAATTCGCATTCTACACTCCTGGCTCCGATAACACAAAGCGATCGCTGGAACCCAACCCTCAACAACGGTCACACTTGCACAGACATCTACATAATCAAAAGGGTCATGGGGCCAATGAATTCGGTGGTGCAGGGCATGTGGAGGACAAGCGTGGTGTCGGAGACTGGATCACAGCCACTATCAATGGAGACGTCGTGTCATGGAAGAATCAGTACGCAGGGGGCGGCGCCGGAGCAGCAGCTGCAACACCTGCACCTGGATCAGGAAGTCCTGCACACCCTCCCGCTCCTCCCAAGGCAAGTATGAATGCAGGCTCGGGCCAGTGGGGAAGACAGGCCTATTATGCTGCGGAACAAGGCATTGCGGATGGACTTGTCTTCTTGAACCACCACGGCGGACAGGGTTCAGGTGTATTCGACACGTGAGTTCTCGCACAACCTCTTTGCGGAGTCTCACCTTGCTGATAACTTGATAGCGTTTGGGGATTGTCGCTATCCTATGCCTCAGCAGACAACAGTGCGGGTGTTTCGTCTCCAGTCCCACTGGCAGACGTTTTGGTCCCGGATAACAGCGAGTACGTCATCATGACCGACCGTCCATGCTCGGATGGCTCCTGTGGGACAGTCCGGGATGGAACCGTTGCTTACCGTAAGTTCGGTCCGCCCATTTTTGTTCAGGGGCCTTCATCTAACAAGGTTGACAGATGGCTTCGATGGTCCTTCCAAGCTCTTTCTGCTTGAATTCAGTATGCCCCTGTCCGGCAACACTGGGTTCAATGGCGACATGCCTGCAGCATGGATCTTGAACGCTCAAATTCCTCGCACGATTCAGTACGGAAGTTGCTCCTGCTGGAGTTCCGGCTGCGGCGAGTTCGATGTCTTTGAGGTTCTGGACCCCGGCAATCAGAAGTGCAAGTCTACCTGGCACGGGGTTAAAGCCAAAGGCGACTCGAACTGGTTCCAGCGGCCCATCAACGGATTCACAAAGGCCGCAGTAGTGTTCGACGGGAGTGCAGGCACTGCACATATCGTGGTTTTGCCCGACGGTACAAACTTTACCGAGAGCATCTCGGCGGACATTGTGGCCGGGTTCGTCAACTCGGTTCGAGATCCAAGGTTGAACATTCACGTCGTTTTGGACAGTTGAAATTATTGACAGCTTTGGGAGAATGGGTTACGCCAATGCCCTGGAGATCATTTCATTCATGTGAGCGAGCGAGTATGGGTCAATTTCTTCTTTCTTTCGGCCTTTTTAATTCTAAGTGCCTGTTGTCTCTTTCCGCAAGCGAGTGAGAGGGATAGAAGCGCTCTAGTGGTCAAGGTAGCACTGGCATTGGAAAGTGTAGACCCAGTAAGCAGAGAGTGCAGCAGTGTATCTTAGGTACCAACAGAATGTCTTCCTAAATTTTAAAAGAAGAGTCGAGCTCATGTTGGTGGTATGCAGTAGAACAGAGGAAGAGGAGGTGGAGGATCGATGAAGTAGTAATTTGGCCAGAGTGCACTGCCGGTCCTCTGCTCCTCTTAATACGGCGGAGCATTAATCCTTCAAGCGCTACTCCGCACTCTACGCCGCTACCCGCGCAACCGCGTTCGTTCACCTGTCACCCTATCGTGTCGTTTACATCCGTCAATGTCAGGAACTCAAATGCTTTGGTGATAGAGAGAATGATTCCAAGCAGAATCGCGTTGACGAAACCAAAGCACGTGTCAAACGAAGCTGGCGGCTGACCTTGTTTGTCCTCGTCATTCCACAATCTCTCAAACAGGGGTTCCAAGTCAAGTCGAGTCATTGCAATAGTGCTCTTTGATCTGCTTCGAACTTACAACCCGGCTAGGGATACGCGTCAAGGCCGACTAGACCTATCTTGACAAATGGCTGTACGCACTTGACATTTTACCCCTGGACGCAACACCGAGCACTTTTGCTGATTCTACGGCCTGATCTCGGAAAGACCAGCTGCAATCTTCTCTTCTTCCACAGCTACGATCATCTGATAGATGGCCTTGCTCATCTTACGGTCTCTTGGCCGTGCCGGACCGGTCAGCCGTCGCCTCTTTACGGACGATGTAAGCTGGATGTGGCTATTATGTGCGACCGACGGCACCAGGACCAAGGGATAGACGTCCCGGTGGAATGTCGACCTCTGCCCAGACAGACAGACATGGCGATCTGCATGCATGCCTCCCTCTGCCCTCTTCTCCACGTGGGGCCAGTTCTTCCCCCACACAATACTCAATTTACTGTTTGAGGATGAGGTGGAAGTCGACCTCTCGGCCAGCTTTCTGGTGTAAGAGCTGGACACCCAGGTCCTGAGACGATAGCCAGTGTGAGTACTGGAATCAATTGCGAGGTCACGTCATGTTCATCGACAACAATAGCTTGGGGACTTTGATGTGCCAGAATTTACAGGGCACAATAACATCCATGCTGTCCAGTCCACAAGGCCAAGATCGGTAGAACATCCGTCTCCAATATCAGCTCGGCGTAGCAACGGCCGAAGGACTGTGTCCCGTCGGAGCATCTAGCCACTGAGTTCCACAAAGCCTTCCAACCCCGCAAACTTCTATGGCCCGGATAGGGGATCCTGGAGATCGTCTACAAGGATAGACGTCGAGTCCAGGTTCTGATTCGACAACATGACAAGCAAGCCAAGCAATTCAAGCCAATTTCTGGATACGAGATGCAACGGCGGAATTCGTCCTCAAGCAAACAGCCAACAAAGTGGAACGTCATTGCATACCCTGGACTCGCTGGTCCACCATCATACATATCATCATATGTTCGAACTGGTCTCCGAGTCTAAGAAGCGATGGAGAAGATCGTTGCCACTCCTTGTCATCTTCTTCTTCGCTTTCCTTCCCCGATTCCTCATTCCTTAAATTGTCTCTTTGTGAGCCTTGTTCGTTCTCTCACCATTGCAGGGGAAATCTCTGAAGCGAAAGCACGCGACCAGATTCCGACTTTGCAGATCGTGGACTGTGGACCGACATCATGGCAGATAACATCGACAACAAGGCCATCTCGGCGCACAACGAAATCGAGAGCTTGAACCTGCCCCCTACTCCACACAAATTCAGATTTTCGGAAAAGTCCAAGCACCAGGATGGTGATGTCGCCTTGAAGCTGTTCACCGATGCAGACGATCTACATATCCCGATTGACGAGGCGGAAGAAAAGAAACTCATTCGAAAGATCGACTTCTTGATCCTTCCGCTGATCGCTGTCAACTATGCCTTCTTCTATATCGACAAGACGACCCTGTCATACGCCGCCATCTTCGGCATTCGCGACGATCTCAACCTCCACGGAACCCAGTACAGTTGGCTCAGCAGTAAGTTGACCTGGACATACATCGACGGCTTTTGGGCTGAGAACCTTTAGGTCTTTTCTACTTTGGCTTCCTGGCGTGGGCATTTCCCACCAATTTCTTGATGCAAAGACTTCCTTTGGGCAAATACCTTGGCGTCAAGTACGTCGAGCCATATTCTTCTGAAAATGCACTTCAGCCGACTGACACAGGATAGTATATTCATGTGGGGATTCTTTCTCATGCTTCAGGCTGCTTGTAGCAGTTTCGCTACCCTCGGTGTCCTGAGAGCCCTTGCCGGCGCTGCTGAAGCCTGCTCGGACCCTTCTTTCATGCTCATTACCTGCATGTGGTACACCCGACGCGAGCAGCCACTGCGCATCGGACTATGGTACACGGCAAATGGTCTCGGCATCGCCCTGGGTGGCCTTCTCGGCTACGCCATCGGTCACATCAGAGGTGCGTTGGCATCCTGGAGGTACGAGTTCATCATCATCGGGGCGCTATGTTGCGCTTGGGGAATTGTCATCGCCATCTTCATGCCAGACAGTCCCGTCACGGCCAAATTCTTGAATGATCGAGAGAAGAGAATTGCTGTTGAACGGCTCATGAGCAATCAAACCGGTGTGGAATGTAAAATTCTAAAGGCATGCAAAGTCCCCGTCACGCATGAGACCCCCGGCTAACATGTTTCTTGGAAAACAGCCATACCAGATCTGGGAAGCCTTCACGGACATCAAACTGTACCTGTTCTTCATGCTGGGCGTTGTCGGAAACATACCCAACGGTGGCATATCGAATTTCGGTACTCTTATTATCAAAGGTGACTGTGTTTTGCCCGCACGATTCTGGGGTGAGAATTGACAGATTCTACAGGCTTTGGGTTTTCGACCCTCGTCACCACGCTTATGCAGATCCCATATGGCTTCTTCATTATCTTGTCGATATTGACATGTACGTTCGCACGCTTTCTCCTACTAGCGCATAGCGCACAATGCACATTGGCTGTTCGAACCTTTCCTATGAATCAATCCGTTCTCAAAGGGTCTTGCTGATATTGTTGGTTCCAGGCGTCTTCTTGAACAATCGCTTCCCCAACAACAACCGCTGCAAGTTCATTTTGCTATTCCTGTGCCCCAACATCGCAGGCGCCTTTGGGCTTTGCTTTGTTGACGAAAAGCACCACGTTGGGCGGTACTTCTGCTATCTGCTCACTGGGCCGTACAATGCGGCGTTTGTGATGATTCTGTCGCTCCAGATTGCCAACACTGCGGGGCATACAAAGGTATGTTGTTTGAAAAGATTGGATTATTTCCTTTCAAGCGACCTTAATCTTGGGTTCTTGGTGGTTTTTGGCCCGCTTGATTGACAGTGACAATGTAGAAAGTGGTTACCAACGCTGTTTTGTTCTTGGGATATTGTACTGGAAAGTAAGTCTTTTTTTTTTTTTTCCAAAGTGAGGGTGAAAATCTGAGCATATGACTGACCGTGTTTCTTCCCGCCAAAACAGCATTGCCGGACCGTTCTTCTACAAGACCGATCAAGCCCCTGAATATACCTTGGGCATTTGGAGCATGATTGTCAGGTATGCACCAGCAACCCCCCCCCCCCCCCCCGCCTCACATCCCTACCACATGCGCAGGATCGGCGGGAACTAATGCCACAAAAATAGTCATCTCCTCGAAGTCTGTATCATCATCGTCTTTTGGGTCTTGATGAAGTATGAAAACGCACGTCGCGACAAGATTCAGGGGCACCACGAACGGGACCTCGACGCCACCGCGTTTGGCGACTTGACGGACCGGGAGAATCTGAACTTTCGGTACATCTACTGAGAGTGAGGGTGAGAGATCAGAGGTAGGCGGTCAAAGCAGGGACAAACCATGTGACATGGCGAAGCAAGAAATTGAGACTCGGGGGAAAAGAATATAGAGATATGCGAATGTTGAATACATCAAATCAATGCACAATCGAGCCTGCACCAATATACAGGGACATAGGCAATTGTAAGAACCGGCTTCCCCTTTTTCCACCGAGTGACTAACTGACTGACTGACCTCGATGTAAGTACCTGTACCTTGTAATCTGGCCACGAATGTACGGGTACTGGGTGGCCTCAACCCATGACAGTGACTGAGTCTCGCCAGACGCGGCAAAGGCTGCCCTGCCCCCTCTCACACCCTCTTCCCTTTCTGTCTCTATTACTCACTTCTCGGATCCGACTGTTATCTTTCTCCTTCATGAACGAGATTGATCGAGATTGATCGACGACAACCAGAATTATCATGAGTCGGATCCGACGCTGTCAGGTAGAATGCCGAGGCTTCACTACCGAGGATCTCCTCCTTCCCTCTTCCCTAACGTGAGAGGCTTACGTTAACGAAGTCCCAATCCGCTTGAGCAAATCCCCGCTTCCCCAGATTCCCGCGCTTAACGGAATGAACGGCACCAGCACCGGACGACGTGTACAGGGCCAAGTTTACGTGGAGGGGTAACCATGGTCTGCCATTGTCAGAAACTCGGTGCTGGATGGGCGGGCCGAGGTTGAAGTCGTGCGACTTCGACTCGTCCGAATTGCTGTCCGTGCATCTTCCCAATATAACGTTATACCCGTGTCCCACCCTGTCGAAGTCGGTTGTTGCTATATAAAAAAAAAAAAGCGAATTGGGCAGTTGCTTTTCTGGCAGAAAGGAGTCACTCCCTGCACCATGGCAGCTATACCCAATCGTCCCTCGGATTTTGACACGGCCGCGCACACGGAGAAAGAAAGCATTCCCAATGGCGTCTCCAACGGGACGAGCGGCGTTCTCACCAACGGGCAACCCACGGACAACATCCACAACATCACCACCGATGTGTTGATCGTGGGTGGCGGGTTCGGGGGCATGTACGGCCTCTACCAATTCCGCAAAATGGGACTGAGGGTCAAGCTCTTCGAGGCTGGCTCGGACTTTGGTGGCACGTGGTATTGGAACCGGTACCCGGGGGCCCGCGTCGACAGCGAGACGCCCTTCTACAGTCTCTCCATCCCCGAGGTGTACAGGAAGTGGTATTTCACCGAGCGCTTCCCGGGACACCAAGAACTCAGGCAGTACTTCAAGCACATCGACAAGACCCTGGAGCTGAGCAAGGACGCGTACTTCAACACCGTGGTCGTCGAGGCCAAGTTCGACACCGAGACTGACGAGTGGCACGTCCGCACCGACGACGGCGGCCTCGCCAAGGCCAAATACCTCGTGCTGGCCACGGGGTCGTCCTACAAGAAGCACTACCCGGACTTTAAGGATTTGGACAAATTCAAAGGCCGCCTGATCCACTCGGCCCTGTACCCGGAAGAGGGTCTCGACGTCAAGGGGAAAAAAGTCGGGGTGATCGGCTCCGGCGCGACAGGTGTACAGATCGTGCAGGAGCTCGCGCGCGAGGATTGTCAGTTGACGGCCTTCATCCGCACCCCGAACGTGGCGCTGCCGATGCACCAACGCAAACTGACCAAGGAGGAACAAGACGACGCCAAGAACTTCTACCAGGCCTACCTCCTCGCGGCGAAGCAGTGCCGGAGCGGGTTTCCGTACACGCCGGCGTCCAAGACGTTCTTCGAGGCCACGCCCGAAGAGCGGCTCGAGTACTGGGAAGACCTGTGGCAGCGGGGCGGGTTCAGCTTTCTCATCTCAAACTACCGCGAGTACGGGACCGACAAGGCCGTGAACCGCGAGATCTACCAGTTCTGGGCGAAGAAGGTGCGCGAGCGGATCAAGGACCCGTTCAAGAGGGACGTGCTGGCGCCGCTGGACCAGGGCCACTGGTTCGGCACGAAGCGGCCCTCGCTCGAGCAGGACTACTACGAGATGATCGACCGGGACAACGTGACGGTGGTGGACCTCAAGGCGACGCCCATCGTCGAGTTCACCGAGACGGGCGTCAGGACTTCTGACAAATTACACGAGTTCGACATTGTCATCCTCGCCACGGGCTACGACTCTGTTACCGGTTCGCTCAAGGACATCGGTCTGATCGGCACCGACGGCGTGCCCCTGACGGAGAAGTGGAAGGAGGGCACGTACACCCACCTCGGCCTGGCCATCAGCAAGATGCCCAACATGTTCATGGTCTATTCGCCGCAGGCCCCCACGAGCTTGTCCAACGGCCCGCCCATCATCGAGATGCAGATCGACTGGATCTGCGACGCGATTCGGAAGATGAAGGAGGAAGGGATCCGGTACGTCGACGCCAAGGAGGAGGCTGCGAGCAAGTGGCGCGAGGATATTCAGAAGATGAATGCCCTGACGTTGCACCCGGAGACGAACAGTTGGTACATGTGAGTTTTTTCGCTCTCTCTCTTTCTGTCCCTGTCCCTGTCCATGTTCTCGATACACCATGTTGCGGGCTACGATGGCCCACCCACGCCCAAGCCCCATATCAAGCGTCACTTTTGCATTTCTAGCTCTACATTTCCCATTGTTCCACCTCCCACTTTCCATATCCCCGTTTATTTTCTTACTAACCCGCCTCGTTCGACCAGGGGCGCCAACATCCCCGGAAAGCCACGCGAGCAACTCCTCTACCTCGCCGGAGTGGACGCGTACGACGCGGCGACGAAGGAGGCGCTCAAGACGTGGGACGGGTTTGAGGTGGTGAAGAAGTAGAGGTTCGCCTGGCTGGTGTGTGTATATAGCGGAGAAAGACAAAGCGAGAGGGAGAAGTGAGAGGAAAGGGAGAAAGAGGACGAGGGAGGTAGAGGGATGGGGGAGGGTCAGTAATGATTAGATAGACAGATAGAATGACAGGATGACGGAACGGGCGATGACTCGAAAGAATCATGTGTGATTGAGAGAGATATTATGCTGCCATCTGACGGCGATGGGGTTTATCAAGATTCAAGATTCAAAATCGAAGATCGCCACGAGACAAGACGACATGTATGATTTTATATCATTCCTATATACAGACCCCCATTTATCAATCCATCCATCCATTCCATAATGCTATCCTGCTATCCTGCTATCCCGCCGTACTACAGCCCTACCACCATGCCATCTTGCCATCTAGCCATCTTACCTGTCTCTGTCACGGTAGGGAAAATATTTGTTTTTTTTTTGTTTTTTTTTTTTCTCTTTTTTTGGACTTTGAATTCTCCAAGGGTTCTTCCTGTCTACCGTCCGCGTCTGGGCCGTCTAGGTTCTCTAGGCTCGTTGTGCGTTTCACGAATAGATTCATAGTCAGGTCTGGTACGGTGCGCACGGGGCGAGCATCACCATCTTATCGATAATCCCTATTGTCCAGAAATTCCCAAGACATATATGATCTGCTTGCTAGCGCACCAACACTCTATTGGACATGGATCCGTGTTGGGTTTGTTTTAGGTGGTCCCCTGTCACTCTAGTCTATGGCGGTCCAGTATTGGATCAGAATCGAAACGAGAGAGATCAGTTCCCAATCCATCATCGCGGACCAAACCTTCGATTCAGACTGGAAAAAAAAAAAAAAAAAAAAAAACAAGACCCACAGGAAAAAACCAAAAAGGGGGGTCATCATCAACCAAACGTTTTTTAACATTCACTATCCGTGATCCCCAACACCCATCCATGCTAACGTTGAAGGGCCACCACCACAGGCAGGCAGGTAGCTAGAGGAGGAGATGTATTCTAAACAATAGGGAAATTCCGTCAATACAACGCCGATCAGGTTGAACTGAATGGGTTGTTCGTCGATTCGTAGCCGCGATGGGGGTGTGGTCGAGGCCATGTGGCCGGGCTGTTGGTACGTTGTGGCTTACCGTCATTATCGAAGACCGGCGATCGACAATCACGGTGTGCCCTTTGCTCCGTTTGGGTCCCATGTCCGTCGGCTTCGGCGTTGAAGACTTGTCGTACCACTGGCGAGAATTCCGACAACGAGTTGTGAGAGGTCTTCGCTCTCATATACCAACCCAAAGCGCGAAAGGGACAAGGGACGAAACACAAGTCCACACACGCGCACACATATCCACATCCGTGGCCGCAATCACCTCGCATGACCGTTGCGCTCGCCCCCCTCAGATTCAACCAGTTCGAATTCCTTCCTGAGCGCGGCGCCGACCCTGCTGATGGCTTCGACAATCTTCTCGGCCGGGGCGGCCGCAAACGTCGTGCGACAGAACAACTGCGTGTCGCTGCCCCGCTGGGCTCTGAACCACGACCCCTTGGCGATGAGGACCGACTGCTCGGCCGCGGCGAGGAAGACCGAGTCCTCGATCTCCAACAGGGTCGCGTAGTCGACGTGGCCCCCGGCCTCACATCGCGCCTTGTACAGCGGGTGTTTGGTGACGTCGACGTTGATCCAGTGGAACATGCCCGCCTTGGGGGCCACCCAGCTGCAGATCTGCGCGGGGAGGTGCCGTTCGCACGCATTCACGATAATGTCCCGGCGCCGCGTGTACTCGGCGCGGATGAACATGAGCCACTCCAAAAACCCCTGGTGGCCCCAGTTCTCCTCGAGCAGGTTGTACAGGTGGACCATGGCGAAGCCCGCGGGGTTCTGCGCGCTGACCTCGTTGTGCCGGATGAAGCGCTCAATCACCTGCTTCGACCCCGTGACCCAGCCGCAGCGACTGCCGGGGGCGATAATCTTGGAGAAGGAATCGAGCCGGAGCACCCGGCCCGACGTGTCGAGCGACAGGTACGAAGGGACGAGGTTCTGCAAAAATTCCGCCACGGGCGCCGGCTTGAAGGGTTTCGGAACCTCGTGCGTCTGGCCCGAAACAAAGGGTTCCATCTGGAGAAAGTAGTAAGGCTCGTCTTCGAGGATGTACAGGTCGTGTTTTTCGGCCACGGCGTAGATTTGTTTTCGGCGCTCGAGC